TCCTTTCAGGCCATCTTGGGACACAGTAAAATCCATGTGACAAGAATGTCAGGTACTGACAGAAGCCACTTTGCATGCTTTCCTGGCAGTCCAGTGGGACAGATTTTTGTGTGGCAGTGGCTGTGAACATGTTGGAATTGCACTATGACTTTTTTTTTTATGGAAGCAAATGCATCTGGACATGGGTCTCAGTCTGGCAGTGTTCTGCACTTACAAAAAGAGTAAATCAGAGTTTTGAAATAATCTTACCCTGCTATTGCTTCTAAGGTAGTTTTTGCACGGATTTATGCTTACCCTCCATCTTCTCTTACACTTTTCTGGAACTTTCTTCACTTCTACTTTTGAATCCCTGGTTATCAAGATCATGCTAGTGAATTTGTTTTCTTTGGTATGTCCAGATTATCAGTGGAGTTACTGGTGTACAGTCAGGTTTTGGTTTTGTTTGTGAATTGACTTTGCAAAAATTAAGTTGGCTGCCTAGATCTTTAAAACCAAATTGGGTCCATGCAAATGCAGGAGCCCTTGCATAGGGAGGGGGCATGCTGGATGTCACTGTACAGTGCTGGGATGGAGCAAGTAATCCCAGCCAGACCAGTCTGACAACTAGAGAGCTACTGAGCATCTGTGCATCACCCTTTTGAAGGCTTTATATTCCAAGAGCTTTGTCAGCTTGTGTGCAATACGGCACGAATGCACAGAGCAAGTCTTAATCTAATGCTGAATATGAGTCACTAAGCCCTTTCAGAAAACATGCAACTAGCATCATGAGGCTGTAACATTTGCAAAACCCACAGGCTTTTCCTCCCCGTGAATTAGCCAAGAAGCATCTGCATTTCAATGCTGAGTTTAAATCCAGCATGGGGACTCACCTTTCCGGGTGGAGGCTGGGATACACTTACTAGAAAAAAAAAGTCAAGTTTAAAAAAAAAAATACAAAAAAATTCCATAAAAGAAAACATAGAAGAAACAACAATGTAGATTTTTTTCACTCTGAGTAAATAGAGATGTTCAGCTGCTGACAGTATCAAGCTGAAGGGGTGCAAATGCTGCATTTTGTCTTTTAAGACTGGCTGGCTTTAAGAAGGCGAAGGGATTGCCAAACCATTTCATTGCCAAAACAGTTATTAGAGATCATGTTCTTCATCATGAGGTTATGGCACTTAATTGCAATGTACTGACCGAATACTGCTGTGGGAAACTATACCTTGTCTCTATTCAACATATGATGGCTGCCTTAACGGTCATCAGCTGCTGCAGTTGTTTCCCCCACTGCAAATCCTTTTCTTCATCAATAGTTGTGACTTTCACCACCTTGTTGTCCCCCTCTCCTAGAAATGGCTCTCCTTTCTTTGACTACATACATAAATGCCCTTCCATCTCTAACCTGTAGTGCAAAATTTCAGCTTTCTCATGGGAGTAACACCAGCCGACTACTACCATAGATACACAGCATGTAAGCGAGGAGTTTCTTACCTGGAATTTTGGGAAATGCGTAAAATAACCTCACAAAAGAAATACCAGGTTGGGAATATATTCTTCAGTTTATTTGGGATAAAAGTCTATTAGAAATGTTTGCAAAGTGTCAGCATAAATGACAGACAATTTTCATGCTTTTTTTCTGATATTAAAAACTAGTTTCAATTTTCCAGCTAAGGAAAAATAAAATTCTTGGCAAATTTTGTGCTCGAGCATTTCAGCATCTACCCTCTTCCTTCTTATTCTCAGTCTCCTGTCAGGTAAGAGGAAGAGTATAAGGATCATTACACGTCAGCCCAATCTTCTGCTTGATAACGTAGCCTGAATTGGGCTCTGACCCCTCATTTGATGCTCTCCCACTCTCTCACCTAGTTCCACAGGAGAAGTACAAAGCTATATATCCAAATATACCAAATAAATGTATCCAAGGAGACTCTGCCTTTAAAACAACTATTGAACTTGACTGCTGATGAACCTTTAGGTACTTCTTGAGGGATGTGTCTTCAGCATTAACCGATCCTTACGGCTTTTTGCTATCTGGCCCTTACTTTGCTTGTCTTTGTCAACTGCAAATACAGCTACCTGGTAGTCTGTCAGTGCTGTTATCACGTAAGAAAACAAAGCTGTGATAGGTTTCTTTTACTTTGATTTAACGTATATTTTTCTTATCTAACACAAAACCTCACAAACAGTTCAGGTGATGATGGTGCTATTTTTGGGAAGCTGAGCATTAGACCGTAACAGAGGGCCATGGGAAGTGCTGGGCCATCTTAGCCTGGCATCTGCTTTCCAAAGTAAGGTGTCCCACTAAAGCCCCAACCCTCGGACACAGTTCCTGCCCTGCAAGTGCTGTCAGATGCATCCCCCGAAGAGCTTTTCTGAGCACGACTGGAGGCAGGCCCTGAACACCGCTGCCATGCAAAGGCAAGGAAAGCTGGCATGCGCTGTCCCAACACTAATGGGCTTGAAAGCAAGGCAACCAGGATGAAAAGGTGGATCCAGTCACTACACTGGGAACTTGTGTGGCCAGTGCAGGCTATGTGCAGGCTGCGTGCAGGCTGCCTGTGGCCTGACGAACATCTTTACCGGGCATGAGGCAAGCAGCACGTCTTCTGGACTGAGACGTGTCAAAGACGACAGCCTTTAGCACTTGGTGCAGAGCAACAAGCTGGGGAGGACAAACGCTGAACCTGCAGGGTGATTCCAGTTGCATATTGTCCTTAAGCAGTATCCATCTTGTAATATGTTTTAAGTGCAATCTTCCAGCTCAAGAATCAAAAAGGCTGACGATTCCATGTTAATCGGTAACCTCTGGAGTCATACAGATCTGCAACAACTACCTACAGATCAAAGACATTCCATGTTTAGCATATTTTAATATCAAGATAGAATTAACATAATTTCTGTAATTAAAGTCTTGAAATTAGTATTTGGAAGAGGCCAGTCTGTTCTTCTATTTATCTGACTGACTACAGCCAATTTTTGAGTGATGTTTCAAATCCAGGTGTACCATCAAGGTTTTGGTAGCAGCTAGCCAGGGTACCAAAGCCGCTGTGTGATTTGTAGGTCACCATAGGATTATCCCAGCTGGATGAACAGGCCTGAGGAGGCCCACTGCGTATGATCATTCCCGTGTACAGGCGCTGAAGAAAATGCTGCAAAAAGAAGAAAACTACAAACATCAGAATACCAACCTTATCTTCAGTCATTGCTGGCACTGCTTCTTGTTGTTAAGCAACTTACTATTTTGATTGCGCTAAAACCTTAACTAGAGAAGTAAACATACTGAAAATCTGCCTGCAAATGTTTCCATTTGCAAGTCTCAGTCCTTGAACCAACTAACCACATACTTGAAGATCCATTTGTCCTTGAATTTCTTTTCTAAAGCTTCCAACCTTCCCTGAAACCGTGAGTTGGGAATGTTAAAAATAAAAAAGTGATTTGAATTTATCTATTTATATCACATTTATATCCATTTATGTTACAATAACCAAGGCAAATCATTCAGATTTTAGGCTTGATAATTGAGACACAGTTGTAATATGATTTATTAAACTGGTCCCAGAGTTACCTCTCCAACATACTGCTGTGGCTTCCAGTGCTAAGCAAGGCTGGGCTGGGCTGTGAGCATCTGTCTCAGAAACTGCAAAGCTTATTTTCTTGCATAAAACTTCGAATGCTGGGCAGAGGGGATTACAGAGACAGTACAGTGGCTAAAGCAGCTTATATTATCAGTGATTTGGAAGAATATTATCTTGATTAACCTCTAAATGCTTTATTTGTTACAACGGTAGTTAAGTGTTATGATGCCGAGATATGGCTTAGAGAGCGCCACGTGTTATAACAGCACTGTGCCAGCTCTTCGCTGCCACATTTGTTTTGAGTAATGGTTTTAATGTAAACCAGACCCAAGATATTTCTCGCTTAGTTGCCTCACATCTCTCCTTTATCTTTGTCTAGCATCTCCAACTGCATGAACAATCTTCCCAAAGGGTGTTGTTACCAGTGTACTTCATAAATTTCCAATTTTCGTTATATGCGCTGCCTGTAATAACTCCTGACTATATATTAATCCTTCAGATTATAAAAGGCAGCATTCTACATTATTTCTCAGAAATGAGTTAACTCTCTTCTCCTGTGGTTTACAATATTGGTACAGTAAATGCAGGCATTTGCTAATTTAATTTGGTAACATCCTGCTATTACAGAGAGATCACAAATGTGGATGCATAGCCCAGAACCAAGAAACATGATCAGCAAGTTGTGTTACTATTTTTCTGACGGATCAGCCCCTGGAGTGCCTTTGAACATGGCGTATGCCCACCTGCCTTCAACCTTTGCAATGGCCTGTGCAGGGAGTATTCTGGCAAACAGCCTTAGGGATGCCCTCCGCGGTTATCCTAGAACTACAGCTCTGGTCCGCTGTGGCAGTCAGGACTTCAACCCAGTTTTCTGTGTTCTCCCTGACTAAGTCTTCAAAAAATACTAGAGACAGATGTTCTGGCTTCATGAATGGAGCTGGTGGGACAGCATTTCGCCTGTGAAAGGGTGGTGTAGGGTGCTGCTATGGTCTTAATCGCAGATGCAATGTGGAATTACCAAAATACGTAATCTGGCAAGGGCTGAATAGTCCTGGGTTCAGAAAGAGAATCTCACTAAAGAAATACATTAATGCTCTATCAAATTCCCCGCAGTGCAGCACAAGGGCTGTTTGCAACTGCTTTGCAATCTAGATGGGGGAAAGATGTGTGAGAGCTCACTCGCTCTGTATTTTCACTTCACTCCTGATACTGTACATGAGGGAAGGCCCTAGTTGCCATATACTATTTTCCCTTCCTTCCTGTCCTCTTCCCCCACCCCAAATACCTTCTTAAACCACTATTTTTTGGTTCAAACAACAAGGCTAAACAGGTGAAATTTTAAATAATGATTGAGGATTTTTTTTTATTCATTTAAGTTTCAGTATCATTACAGAAAATGTTATGGTACAGAGTTGTTTAACATTAGTTTTATTTCTTTGCTCATTTAATTTCCACATGAATGCTGGTAACACTAATATCTGTACAAGATCAGTCTTTGATTTTTTTTTAGTTTTTAGTTCTGTACATTTTTAAATGTATTGGTTAAAAAGGCTGTCAGCACTTAAGGAAGCAATTTTTTTGTTTGTTGAAATAAAAGGTATCCAGTTACTGCCCAAGAGTACTGAGCTGGGTGGCTGCCGGGACAAGAGAGATCCCTGAATGCGCAGCGAGGTGAGAAAACCTCGGGGCTTCATTGGGTTCCCAGTGCAGCCACTCTGCTTTTGGCACTGTGCACATCAACACGAGATACAAGATAAAGAACAAGCAGAAGCTCTCTGTGAAGCGGTTATGAAGCATACTAATAAGGGAAATCCAAGTGTTGTCTACGCTAGTATAAATAAGCAGACAGCCTTGTTTTAAGAGCATAAGTAGTTGTATCGTAAAGATGAGAAAAAACACAAGTTCTGCAGGCACCTACTGCTGTCTACTAAAAGCTACCGCTATTAGAACTAGCATTGAACACACAAAGCAATTGCAAGGAAAGGAAAAAGTTGCTTTGATATAATCAGAATAAATTTCTTTGTTAAGATTTGTTTTAAAGTTTTTTTTTTAAAAGGTATTTATTTAAATTCCATTTGAAATATAATTCAAGATGTTGACTATACTGATCAACTTTTATCCAAATCAGAAAAACTAGCTGTGCCGTTGCATATTACAGGATACAGTCAATGATATGTGGACATGCATCAAAGCTTCGCTCTTGCTGGTGACATCATAGCCTTCCAATGACCATGACATCCACCACCTCCCCCTTGTGAAGCTCCACATACTGCTCTGTCTTTGGAGGTAGCATCAACAGTCCATTGGCACTGCGCATACTCATCAGACGACTGCTCATCTGATTCCCTACAGGAGAGCAAGAGAAAAATTTCAGTTAAGTTTTCAATCGGTTTCAAATGCTGCAATGTACCACGCAGAAAACAAGAGCTGTTCTTACGAAGATGCTCATGTTGCTAACTTATTTGTGGAGCTGGGACCTCGCTGTTCCAAGGTGGATGGGCACAGAGAACTCTCTAGAGAATTAGTCAGCTCTCAAAACTCCCATTCCCTCTGCTGATTGCATTCCTACCCAGCCTTCCACGCTATCTGTACCTCAGATCTTGCCATAGTAAGGTGATTTTCTGTTGGAATTTCTAATCTTACCCAATCTACTTTATTTCTCCATTTGTGTACCTAATTCCGATTGTACAAAGACTAAAACCAGCACACTCTAGTGTGTTTTTAATATACTGTTATAGAATAAGTTAGATTAGCTGTATTCTTCTCTCTGAATACTCTCGTTTAGCGTTAGTAGCTTAGCCCTAGTAGCTAAAGTAATTGAAGCCTTAGGCCACGAGGGCTGACAAAGAATAAACTTTTTGGTAAAACTAGTGCTGCTAATACAGAACCAGCTGAATCTGGCAGATGTGAGCAGAATGAAGAAGATAAGGACCAAGGAAACAATTCTGAGAGAATGACGTAACTTCAGAAGAAGGCCAGCCCAGCAACAAAGAAAACCAGTAAGAAATCAAGAGACCACCAACCAGAATTAAGCGATTGGACTTGGGGATTGGGTGCTTGGTGGTACGGGTACAACTGGAGGGTGTGATCTGGGGCAGGTGTCCCTCTCCAGCGGCACCCAGCTCGAGCTCTAACCTGAGAACTAATAAAAGAGGAATTGGGAACCTTCACTGGGACTTTACATTTTTGAGTGGGATCCTAGGGTCAGACCCTGTTATGGTGGCCGGCTGCATAAATCCGTAACATATACCACTGCAAAAGAATGGGTTCCTTTGGGACACAGAGCTTCACAACATGTCCTGAAGATAAACAGTATCATAGCGGTAGTACTGTCAAAAAATGAAAATGCAATAAAAAGTCATGCCCTTTAGTTTCTTGGTTTTCAAACTTCCAGATTGTCAGAGAAATCATTCCAGGCAGTCTGCTTGTGTGAGGAAAGAAGCTGTGCACAACAAACAGAGTTAAACCAAATACAGGGTTATAGATGTAAGTAATACCTTGCCTTATACCTGGAAATACGTCAGAGGCTGTGTGATGTTGGAAGTCAATCATAGAATCATAGAATGTTTTGGGTTGGAAGGGACCCCTAGAGGCCATCTAGCCCAACCCCCCTGCAGGGAGCAGGGACACCGCTAACTCGATCAGGTTGGTCAGAGCCCCATCCAACCTGACCTTGAATGCTTCCAGGGATGGGGCCTCCACTACCTCTCTGGGCAACCTGTTCCAGTCTTTCACCACCCTCATTGTAAAGAATTTCTTCCTTATATCTAGTCTAAACCTACCCTGGTTTAGTTTAAAACCATTACCCCTTGTCCTGACACAGCTGGCCCTACTAAAAAGATTTTCCCCATCTTTCCTATAGGCCCCGTTTAGGTACTGAAAGGCCGCAATCAGGTCTCCCTGCAGCCTTCTTTTCTCCAGGCTGAACAGCCCCAACTCTCTCAGCCTGTCCTCATAGGAGAGGTGCTCCAGCCCTCGGATCATTTTTGTAGCCCTCCTCTGGGCACATTGCCGGCTCACGTCCAGCTTTTCATCCACCAGCACCCCCAAGTCCCTCTCGGCAGGGCTGCTCTCGATCCTTTCTTCCCCCAGCCTGTACTGATACTGGGGGTTACCCCGACCCAGGTGCACGACCTTGCACTTGGCCTTGTTGAACCTCATGAGGTTCACACAGGCCCACCTCTCCAGCCTGTCCAGGTAAGAACAATGGTAAGAACTTTCTCTGAGTAAACAGTAAGATGCATCTGAATTAATGTCTTCCCTGTGAAGACTTGTATGTAATGCCTTGTACTGAATGATTTGGATGCAGCAAAAAGACAAATAGTTGTTTAAGGACCTGAATCTCTTGACAAACTGGCAGAGTCAGTCTTCTAGCAGCATACAGCTAAAAAAGTATTCAAATACAGAATTTACCTCAACCGCAGCTGAATATCCAGAATTATCCCTAGGTGGCAAACATGACTAAGAAAAGTCTTAGTCTGCTTTAAGCAAACATATACAGCCTCTGCTATCTCTTCTACTTTTCCAGTTCAGAGAGAATCACACTTAACCTGTATTGTTCCTACCTATGTCCCAACTTGTGTTTGCTTAATACATGCACAAGAGCAAAAGTAAGCAAATGTGCCTATGAGTGCAAGTTAAGCATGGGTGGATGTTTATAAAAAGGAATGTGTGCACATATGCAACCATACAGATGTATTTCGTGTGTGTGTGTGTGTGTATAAAGGCAGGTTATTCAGATAAAGGAATTTTTAATGGTCAAGTTGGTAAGTCATATCGTGACTGAATTTTATACTAACGCACATGTACGCATGTGCACAAGTATGTCAGCACGTCATCTGCATAGGGAAGGCTGTATGAAAAAACATGTGCACACGCTTGCTTGTTTCTAGACATATATGTAGGAAGGCAGCATATACACAGGCAGGACCTGTGTGAGCGTTGTCTGTCAGTCTGCGTGACGAGGCACTAACCTGTACTCTGTGCCCAAGGTAGTGGTTCTTGGTGATGCCAAGTCAGTATGCACCGATGATATTCTGGGCGGGGGTCCAATTTTACATCACATGATAACTGTAGAAGAAGCAAAGAAAGGATGAAAATGTCATGCATTCAGATTGCACTCAGATAACGGAATCATCTGCTCAACTGTTTTTACTCAAAACCAGTCTTTTTAAAAACTTGCATTTTGAGCTCAGATGGTGTCTAGTGCAAGATCAAAAGCTGTAGAAGGTAGAGACTGCAGTATTTAAGGGAAATACAGCTGTGATATTATAATATCGAAGTATACGATGGAGACTACATGCATTAAGTGGAATATTCCAAAGCTGTTCCTTTACTGGCAGTTTAAAGATAGTATTTTTCTGGAAAAAAAGCTTTAGCATTTTTGGTCTCTGGATTATACTGCATAAAGATAAAAAATGTATTTGCATTCAAAATCCTGCTAGCTCTGACAAAAGGGAAATGGCCAATATTTGAAATGAAAAGACATACAGGGGATGGCTCAAAATGGAATTTAATGGAACACATTGGAAAAGTCATGCAAAAGTGAGGGTCACTACAAATTGCTCTCTGTTTTAGAATATTTTAGCTGTGAGATAAAGAAAAATCTGGATGCCTGAGGAAGTGGGAAAGAGACACACGAGATACGCACTAGGAGAAAAGTGCATAGCCAAGAACACTAGGGAAAATAGAAAAGGTAATGTGTTCCTTGGCACTTTATTTGAATCAAAAATAGAAGAGTAATACATTATGATAACATGCCTTGAATCTATATTAAACAGAGTTACAATATCCATGACTTCTTATAAGAGTGAAATTAGTAGTTTAAGGGATTTATATTGCTTAGAGTGGGGGTCATGTGGGTTACTTATATAAATAACTCAAGAACAGAAAGGCTTTAAAGTTTGTATTTTCTATTGCTAATACAGAACTATCTGACTCTTTAGGTATTCCCAGATTACCCTGCTTTATTACCACCAGTTAAAACAATTTTTTTTTTTAAAAAGAAAAGTGTCCTTCCTGCCTGTTTGGCAAATGGCTGTCTCTGCATCTGTGTATCCTGCTCCATTAGATGGCCATCTAGCTCTTAGAAATTATGGGACTGAGTGTTAGAATTAACAGAGATTGAGAATATACCTCTGTCTTGTGTGTCCTTCCTTCAACTTGCCCGAATTAGTCTAGGGCTCAGATTCCCCAAACAAGACTTTGGGCCTTTCAGAGCCCAAAGAGCTGTGCTTCAACATCTTGAGAGAATTTTTGAATAGAAGACAAGCTTCTTACCCTGGCTTTGATGATGGTGGGCCGAGGATCCAGGATACCCTGCATTTTCCTCAGTGCGGGAACAACAAAGAGATTGCAGGTGACAACAGCTGACACAGGGTTCCCTGTGGGACAAGGAACAGTTGGTGGTGACTCCCTCTTGATTTACTCTGTGAAATGCTGAAAGTGATCTCATGGTTTTATAGCAATTGCGCTCTAGAGGACTCTAAAGAGCTTTTAATGCTATGTACAGGAAACATTTCATTCAAGACTGGAGTGGCACGTGGCAAATACAGCTGCTGAAAGCTACGCTCTCTGGCTGATGGTCTGCTGAAATCCTGCCCTGGCCAGAACTGCCCCATGCTCTTCAGGCCCCACCATTTGCCTCTGTTCCTCCATTGCCTTCTGTCTTACGCTTAGATTTGTCTGGGGCCGGGGCAGGGTTTATTGTGCACAGGTATAGGTCCTAGCTGATAGGGCTCTTGATTCACGATTAAGGTTTCCAAGACCTATGGAAAATTACTTTCAATTCCCTAACAGAGTGGCAAAAGGTTTTAGTACAAATTGTGAGGAGAATTCTACTGATTTATATGTTTTCTGTTGACTCACAAGAGAGGAGTATGACCAATGTCTGTCAAACACCACTTGTCTCACACATCTGGACTTCCCCATATGACAGTGCTAAAATAAATACTCTGATCAGACAGATGCTCCATTGCTCTCTCCCCTGGAAGAAAACGTACTGCAGCAACAAGAAGGAGAAAAAGCACTAGAGAGACATCTGAAAACCACCAGCTTATCAAGCACAGGATTCCTTGCGTAGCCAGAAATCCATGCAAAGCCAGAGCAGTAAGAATAAAATAAATTCCTCCTGATTTAGGAGGGTAGAGACTTGAGCCGGATCCCTAAGGAGCTGTGATTTCCCAAGGCGCCGCAGCATGCTGGTGGTGAAGCGACGCTGCCCTCTTTTGGTTCCACAGTTCGATCATGATAAAAGAAAAAATATTCTGTGACATGTTTCTTGGCACTCCCTCGTTTTTGTCTCCATTTTCAATACTTCAGAGTGGATGCGCTGACTTACATGCACAGAATATTTTCTGTGAAGGTGGAGGGAGCTGTAGGAAAAAACCACCCCTCTATAGTACCACTTACAAAACCCAAGGAAATTGTTGGATGGAAGAAATCATAAGGCCTGTACACTGGCAAATTCTGAGGACAGGAACAAGAAAGAATTCCTTAGTGTACCCCTATAAGTCTGTCTCTTCTGGAAATTTCTGGGAAAACCTTACAGGTTCCTTCCTCAGGGATGCCAACACCGGACATAGGTGCTGTGAAAGATCACTATTCTGTTTCATGTCTGTCATCTATGCACAGCAACAAAAGTAATCCACAAAACATCTTACCTGGGAGCGCAAAGATTATTTTTCTTACGCCATCAATATCCAGAGTTGCAAAAGTTGTTGGCAGGCTATGGGAGAGGAAAGCTATTTAATATCTGCACTAGACTTTGACTGAATATTATTACAGAATCATAGAATTGTTCTGGTTGGAAAAGACCTTTAAGATCATCAAGTCCAACTGTTAATCTAGCACTGCTAAGTTATTATGTTATTATTTAAAACATTTGGAAAAGAAAACAGGATCTCTCTCTCTGTCAGCAGTTCGTTAGCACCTGCTGCTTATTCCATACAGGGGGTATAATCCTCTCTTTGTGATGACAGAACAATTAGCTTTTCTTGGTACTCAGCTATGAAGTTTTAAGTACACAATTTTGCTTCTGGTGAGGAAACATCGAAGCGCAGATGAACTAGTAATCAAAAATCTAAATCCTGTCTTCATGCTAGAAGCCAATTAACAAAGAAGTAATACTGAAATGAAGCAGTTACAGAGCTCTATTTGTTCTTCATATAAGGCTCTCCAAATATTTTGTAACAGTAGTGACTCCAATTTCCCCTACTCCAGTGTTTACAGCGGTAGTGACAACGGAGCAGCGTTCCAGAGCCGCAAATGCTAGCTAGCCTGCGGATGAGCAGATTCAGAGACACAGGGAGAGCTGCAGTCAGGTAAGGCCTAGGTCTGCCAGTAAAGAGCGCGCTCTGCCTTTCAGAGCTGCTCCTGAGTGATCTCTCGTGACTTGTTACCAGGCCTATTACAGTTACACAAATAATCACAAATGATGTGATGGCTCAAGAACGTGGCTGGCAAAGAAAAGGGACTCATCCATTCAAAAAAGTTTTCTATACGCCTATATTAACATCATCCTTTCAAACATTAGAAATGATACTTTATAGGAGCAGTAAGTAGCCTGAGTTCTTTGGCTTCAACTTGAGCTAACAACTATCACCTGGTCAGCAGACGATACTTGCTGACCAGCAGCAACTTTTGGAATTTGCCACACTTCGATCATTACAACCTAGTTTTGTATCTGCTAGGACTAACCAATATCCTACTTGACCAGGGGAAGTTGATGTTTGGAGTTTCTGTTTTAAAATGTCTCTAACATAATGGGAACTATGTGCCAGATCTCCAAATCTTATAAGCAGCGTACGAGCTGAGGTACAAGAACTCCAATTGCTAATTCATATTTACTGGAAACTCTGAATTGCCATATGAGATTTCAACACCACCATTGCGAAAGTCTTCCAGTACTTTCTTCAGGCAGTGCTGCTAGACAAGATACAACCTTACAGCAGCTCAGCAACTTTCAGATCAAGTGGAGGAATGGCAAATCCCAGGCATCACTCTGCAGTCACGTAGCACATCAAAATATGGGCATACAAAGCAAATTCTGGCTTCGCTCTTAGAACTTACTGGAGGGAATTTTTCCCAATATAGTAACCACATTTCATATCTAGGGCCTTTTAAGACAGAATTAATAAAAACTAAGACACAGTATTTGCTGTTGCATTACAGCCAATGAAAATGAGAGTGCTTACATTCTCAGTAAGATTAGATGACCAAATGTTCTGGTAGCAGTAAGAAATCTGCTTTCTTATGGCATATAATGAAAAGGGATGTTTGGAGAAAATAAGATTTTGTAAAGCTTTTCTGGCTAGTTATTAAAAGTTTATTGCTACAAGTCTACAGAGGGATCACCAGAGGAAAGAATTATGTTTGCTTTCAGATAAGCCAGAACCAGAATTTAATATTCCGAATTCTCTAAATCAGTTTATCCATTCTTGTCAGCAGCACAGGCTGGAGTGCACATCCCACTTTTGGGACTTCCCCACATCGGTAGCAGTATAGCAGAAGCAGTGAGCAATTTCCATGCCTGGGCTACATCCATCACGGGAAGAAGCACGCCTGCAGCTCACTCGTCCCTTTTATGGAAGGGAGGTGGTGGTAGTAGCAGCACAAGCACCAAACCCACATGCAGTTCTTCACTGGATTGTATGCAGACAGTAAAAGTATCGGGTCTGTTTTCACAGCAAACACCCCATTTCTGTTCTGCTCCCTGGCAACAGTTATGGGCCAGAGGGAATCAGTCTGCAAAGCTGCACTTGGCCTTGTGTTACTGGACGGTGCCAACCTAGCTTGCAAACAAACTGCGCTCCACGGCTAGGGAGGCAGAGCTGCAGACATCCTTCCGCTACCGCGCTGTGAAAGTGAACTGTCTATTTTCAATACGTGCAGTTTTCATTTTCTCTACAAAGCACACTTCCAGACTCATTAGTTAGCAGTGCTACAGCAAAGGGAAGCAATGCTGAAACAGTTTTCTGAGGCAAACTAAACACATCAAGGACTGTGTTTACTTTAAAATTACTATGCTTGGTATGCCAATTGGATAAAACTTTGTAAATCAGCTGTCATCCCACCTCTCTCAAGAAGCTGCTTGTTTGTAGGAATGACTTATGCAAATTCTGAAGTGAAATGAGATGCTCATTAAGCAAACCAGCAGTTAAATGTCCTTATATTTCCCGGTTATTTCAAAACAATGTCAATCTCTGAGCTCTGTGATCACAGAGAAGACTGTGGCCATGTTTATACTAATTCTGATTTCCCCCAAGTCCCCAAACCCGATTTGCAACACTTATCAGAGAAATATCTCTTACTGATAAAAAGTAATCTCTCTGTTCCAGTTAATGTCACCCATAAAGATGATGACTCATCTGAACAGGATTGATTTTGCTTCTTTTCCCATATATATCTACCATGTAGTTTACAGTAGATTTGGAAAAATGAAATCTACTGAAGCACTTCTATAGGACATTTGGCCCAATATAGACTTCATCTATGCTGCCTAAGTAGAAAGATTTCTTACCCTGGTTTCATAAAAACTCTGCCAAAGTGAATCTGTGCGTGAAGATCAATATCCAGCACCTGTTTAAGATAGTCCTGTTTAAATTCAAAAAAGAAAATCAATTAAGCAACATCAAAGTGGCTTACATCATCTAAGCATCCAAAGCAATTAATTAATATCAAGTGAAGATGAAAGACTTTTCATATCCTGAAAGTGCTACATTCCAGTGGGGAATTTCCAGTATTTGAAAGAAAGTATTTCCAAAAGGAGAGGTGAAGAACGGACTCATTTTAGGTACCAAACCTGACTCCATGAGGATATAGTAATATATTTACTTAAAAGTCAGCTGCAGCATCAGAATCTTACAGGACCCCACAAATGCCTACTACTAAAACATTCGCTATGTCAAAAATGGAAAAAAGCCTTTATGGTTCAAAGTTAAGACTTAAAATCATCAAGTTATTTAACTTTTGCCATGAAAGCTATCTAGCAGTAGAGGTAGAGATCTCCTAGTACTTTTGAAATCAATACTGTCCTGTAGAAATCATAGTTTTCCAGGATACTCTGATTACTGTAATTTCTTGGGGACATGGTCTAATCCACAGTGGCTGGGTTTAACAGTCCTTAGAGAGGAAAAACTGTGGGTGGCTTGTGCGTTAGTCCAAGTTAAATGATTTTGCATAAACACAATCGATCCAGTTATTAAAACAAATTGCATTACTTCTTTAGGCTTTATAGAAAATTTCTGTGCTCAAAGATTTAGTACCCTGTCTGTTGTGTTTAGTGAGATTAAAGACACAGAACATAACAGTCATCTGTGAAGAGAGACTTTGGAAGCAGTAAATCTGAAGCTCCCTTGCAGTTTTCCCATCTTTTTCTTTTTCTTTTCTTTTTTCTTTTTTTTTTTCTCTTTTTTTTTTTTCTGTGTGTTCAAATACAACTTTTTTCAGCCAGGCATGAATTCTCAATTATTGATTGCATTAATCCCACTTTTACTTTCTATTTACTTTTTGGATGTTCACAGTTACTTCATTAAAACTGCTGAAAGCTCAGTATCAGAGGGCTACCCACCAGTGGAATACAGAGCCTATTGACTTTATGTTGTTGCCTCAAATTCAGACTGGGGAGAAATTAGCCAGGAGGCATAAATGCCTGTAGGACCATTCAGCAATCCGGTCACTTCCGAGTGTTCCTGTGTCTGCACTATGTCACCATGTTCCCAATTTAAAGACCAGCACTTGCCCTTGATTATTTTTCTAGGAATACTGAAGACAATAGTGGGATTGAAAGTAATTGGCACTGGTTTAACTAGTTATCCATTTTCATGATGTATCCAACCATATGATTTCTACTCAGAAAAGTGACAAAAACAGCACTCATGTTTGCCATCTCCTAACGACTGTCTTTAATCTGTTAGTTATAAAAGGAGAGATGTTTCTTTTACCTGCCAAACTCACAGATTCAGCCTGGGATCAAAAAGTAATCTGAGTTTTCCTTCGCATAAGTCATGATTAATAAATGTCCTGCAGGTTCATCTACGCCCCACCAGCATCTGTGTATCCCTATTTTCTTTGATGGTTTTGGCACAGGGATTACCAACAGGAACTCAATCAACAATTCTGTTAATGATTCAAAAGGCAAATATATCAGCTCACTGTGTCTCGTATGTATTGCCTCTGTAGGACTATCAGGCGCAAAATGTGACAAAACTTTTTTTGTAACAGATACAGCTTTGGCATCTTCAGGAAACAGATCTGCTGAGTAAGAGCTATTTATATACTCAGGTTGCTTCTCAAAGTACTTTCAAAGTAGCTTTATTCTAGCTGCATTTTACCTGCTCTAAGAATAAAAAGAAGTCTGTTGCCTTCATGTGTTATTAACCAAGCACCTTCCTTATCATAACTACATAAATAATTCCTTAAATAAAAATACATTTGCAAATCACTCACATCAAGAATTAAAATCTTTCCTGTTGTTCTACGTCTACAGTAATAAGAACAAAGGGAATGAGGATAGCGTTGAAGACTATTTTCTTAATTAATTCACAAAAAAGTAAGACCCGTTTTTAATAAACATTAATACCAAGGTAGAAGCTCTGACAACAGACTCTGGCTTGAAACTCTTAGATATATTGCAGGAAGTCATACTTAAATTTAGCATACCTTTTCCCCCATAGATACGCCTCCCGATGTAATGATCACATCAGCACGGCTGATACCCTCATTCAGAGCATTCAGTAAATCATCTGGGCTGCAGAAAAGAGCAGGCAAGCAGGTTAGTGGCATGGAACTGTTACGAGTTGTAGTGTGAGTGTCTGCGTGCAGCAGATGTATATACACACACATATTTTAAGAAAGAGGTACAGCTCTAGGATAACATAAGATCTTTTCTTTCTCAAGACTCCACACTGCTCTATCCAAGTCAGGAACTGCAGTCTCATGAAGCGACCACCACACCGTTTGGCACCTTTCTCTCTAAGAGCTTTGCAACAGGAACAGTGGGGATACTTCAGGCTGGGACTGAAGGTGGCTACTACAAGTGTCAAAAAATATGTAATTTGCACAGGAGGTAGCAATACAAATCATGATTTTGAGGATCTGACAGGGCTACATAAAGGGCCCTGACACATGAAAATTACTGGCTAGCAAGCAGGCTGCAGTACTGCCTGTCTGGCTTATTCGATGTGTGCAAAAACGGGGCTAAGGCTCCCCTTCAAACTTCCATCAGTGAAAGTGTGAGTAACTCCTTTGGTTGTCTTCTCCATTAGAGGGCTCTGCAGCAAAGCCAGTTGTCCATCCACTTCTCCTTGAAAAAATGCAATCCATCCTGTTCTAGTGTCACCTTCAGGAGAAACAGTGTAAGGGAAGCTGTGATGTTCCTCTGTACAGGAAGTGTAACTGCGAAGGCGAAGGATAGCAGCTGAGTATATTTCAATTTTGGTGTCTTAACTTTTTTTTTTTTTAAGATACAAACTGAAACCTTTGAAGTGGGCATTAGCTCTCTAACAGCAGTACTGATGCTAATACAGAGCTTCAAGGCATGCAGTGGAGAAACTTGATAATACAACTTACACAAGACCAAAGGTATCCAAAAGAATTTCCGATGTATTAAATGCATATTTTGCATTTAACATTTGTGAACTGACCAGAAACTGACTGATTGCTACGACTGTATGCAATGTTCCTTCAACAGTATGCTTTGACTTTAATGATCCTGAAAGGTTTTCATGGGAGGCTGTTCCTTCTTAGAATGCAATTGAATGAATGGGCAATAACGCTAGTGATTGTGTAAAGGACTTCACCTGGAATGCAGCGCCTCAGTTAAATGCCACACTACAATTACAAAATGCCATTATGGGTTGTCAAGTCTTTTCGGGCTGCAAATGGCATGTGGGCTGTCCTTTGGGAACTTTGGCTATATTTCACGAAAAGATAGAATCACTGCAGTTATTTTGGGTTCGAACTGGAAACAGGAAATGTAGAAATACTATGCAAGGCCTGGTTGACCTTTCAGAGACTAACAGACACTGTGTGTTTCAAAAGGTCTCAGAAAGAAAAATCCTTTCCTCTGAGCATCCTGCCTTTGCCCATGGGTTAGGGAAATATAAGCAGGAGTTAGCATTATGTGGTGCTGTGTGCACTGTGGTTTATGTGACGCAAGAAAGACTGTGCTCCCTCACTGAGTAGGCATCTCAAGTGGATGCGACCCTGCACACGCCTCATCTCCTCACCAGAAAGCCCTCAAGCATCCTCTATCCTGGTTATGCCTCACAGGCAGAAAGACCCAAGACTCCTTCTCCACCATGTCCAGTGACTGATGCAGCACCTTCTTTGGCATCACAGTGAGGTTATCCTGCAAATCTTTTCTATTTGTGTTGGGTTACATCCACTCTTTAGGGTCATATTGCTTTGTAAGAGGGAGGCAACAATCTACAGCAGAAAGAAGGGCAGATAGCTGGTGCCACGGTGTAGGCTGTAATCGAGCAGACAGAATTATACGCTACCCTTCTTTTAAAGGAAACAGTGGCTTCAAATATTGTGGCATGCCTCCACGACTTCTGTTTAGGGTACTGGGTATCTCAGATACTCTAACTGGCCTACAATGAATGGCTGAACTCTGATTTCATCGGGAGAATATATAAAAGATATGGACTCAAGCAAAACCATCTCCTTCTTTGTTCTTCAAGAAACAGAGACATTTTCTCAGCTGCCCTTTCTGAACTCTCAGGATCATTTTATCCAAAAACTAGCACAAGTCTTCACTAGCTGTTGAAGGCAAGAGGAAAGAAGCAAGGCTGTTGTTGGCTACTGTCAGTGTCTTCTTCAGAACCACTTGTTTCATCCTGATTGTCTAAGTAGCAATCTGTATGCAATAAGATACTGCTTAAGATTATTATAGAGTTTGTAATTGGAAAAGTCTCTCAAGATCTAAGTATTCCTTAACCCTTGCCAAGGAGGGTACTGGAATGCAGCAAGGAATACGTATTCGTTGCATAGGTTGATGCAGGCCTTCCTGAAACAGACACTCGTGCCACTATTACTAGGCTAAGACTGCTTTCAGTATATTTTTCTTATTAGATTGTGATGCAGCTGAGGACCTTATCTGGAGCTTGCTCCAGGCTGTTTCATTTTATCTTGCTTCATTATTTAGAAGTTATTCATAGGTAGCAAGACCACCTGTCTGGGAAGATCCTAATTCTGGATTATGAAGTGTGCTTGCTCTTGATTGTGGTTTGAGAATAACAGAAGGAACAGTAAAAGCAAACAAGTCTATATTTAACGGTTGTTAAATAGAAAGCAAGTGCTCCTACTTACATACCAAATATATGTATATAATATATATATAATTACTTAACAAAGAAAAAAAACCACCACCAAAATAAGGGCAAACTAAAACCAGATAAGGACTCAACTCTGTTTATGAGGGCGGCATGCCACCGGAGTAGTTCACCATACAGCTTTTTTATTACATACCATGTAAAAAGTTGAAGATTACTGGACTTGGTGCATTTTTTAGCATTTCCAGTAGAATGACCTGTATAATATCCCTTCATTTACCATCTGTATAATGCAAGATATTTAAAAATTCTACCACTAAAACTTCATCCAGCCAATAGCACTGCCTATCATCTTTAGATAGCTGCAAAATGTGACAGAAATTGTAACAAACTGAATGATTATGGCTAGTTTGGTTTTTATTCTGAAGAAAGAAGACATTTACAGAATTCCCTCCCTTGCCTTTGCAGAAGGCTCTTTCTGCCCTATTTGGCACATTTCTTTTTGTCACTCAGGTCCATCTAACTTTCTATCCTACTTGAGGCTGGTAGTTCTGCGACTGCAATTAATACAAAACAAAACTTAGAGGAGTCACCTGCTGTAATCTTCCATCAACACCGTAGCAAACATTTTCCTTGCCTTTAGTGGATTTAATGCAGAGGGTTATAATTCAAGTTGCGTACTAACACATATTTACTATAATCAGATAACAAGATACTACTAGTTTCATTTGTTGCGTAAAAATGAGCAGCTTCTCTTTTGGATTGGCATGGAAAGGGAAAAAATAATTGAAGACTATTAACTTCTGAAAGAACAGACAAAATAACTTTGGCATCTGAGCATAACAGGACAAGATTGTTCTAAAAGGCCTGTGACAAATCACCATGAAGCTGAGAAATAACACTCCCTGTCTGAGCAGGTACAAATCAGAAGCCATAGTCTGAAGCCCTGGCTATTGCTAGGAACAGGATACTGGGTTAGCTAGACTAATGGTCTAATTTACTATGATAAATCCTTTAAAATGTCTTGTGAAAGTGCTATTCTTGGATTTTTTCCTTCATGGACAGAACTGTAACAGGTGCTCAACTATAATGGTGAATACCTTAATCAATGTAAAGTAGATTTTGATGGGAAGTCTCATTTCCAGATGGCAAAACTATTCTGTTTCATTTGGTGATTCTCAAAGTCAGAGTGACATGGTGCACAAGAAGGGAGAGTGCTTTTCTAACGTGCTGCAGTTGATTAAAAAAAATGATACTCTCTGTACATTTCTGATCACATCCCAGCATCTTCTGTAAATACCGCTAAGAAAATTTGTTCTGTAAGGATTACATACTGTTTATGAAACTATTCATGTAGGTAAGTAAGCACAAATCCAAACCTTCTCTCAACAGCAGAAATCCCCATCTACAGCAGATTGTGTCTGCACAAATATTAAGTGTATTGTACATACATTTTTGAAGCTGCAGACATAATGCTTTGCATAAAGAGTCCATGTACTTTTCAGTATGTCTTTATATTCTCTGCTAATTTTGCCAGTCTGATAAACAGAGCATCTACTTTGCTACCTCAATTTCTTGACCCTCTTTATTCAGTTTTCTGGAATGGAATGAGCAGTACAATCTGGAAATTAGTTGGAGGGTATCCGTTGTATAGTGGCAGCAGCACGCGTAGAATCCAGTAAGCAGATGCGTGACATCGCAGTTGACATGCCACTTGATTTCATTAATTTGAAGAGAGGGCTTGCAGGATGGCAGTATACCAGAATAGGAACACCTTCTGGATTCATGACAATTTCTGATTATCAAAGCTAGTTTGTGGTTAGGCTCTTAGGCAGCACTTGATTACTGAGCTGTCTTTGAACTGAAAAGATACACAGGAGCTTAAGAGCTTGAACAAGAAAATGGTGTAAACCTCATTAAAATAAGACGTCAGCCATGTAGAAGATTTTTCCTTTCTCTCTCTCAAAAGAAATAGCTACAGTACAGTCAAGACCAAATAATTCTCTATGTTTTAAGTACCATTTTTAAGTACCCTAAATTGCAGTGTAATTTTCTCTTTCAAATAGAAATCCGTCTGTTAATTCACTTCTGTTGATCCTATTGTTGTGCTTCACTGTCATTAATTATAAATCTGTCAGCCTTTTCTGTGATACAACCCTTAACACCAGCAGTTTGATACATGCAATTAAACTGCTCGGTTTCATAATTTAATTTAGAAAACAAATAACAACAAACAACAAATGGTGATCTGCATCACCTACCACTCTGCAGCAAAATGAGCGATTGCTGTAAAATTGAACTGGAACATTTAGTTAGGACTGCCTTATCAAGCCATTGTCACAGTACAAAATCCATAGTTCATTACTAATTTCTAGGACCATTTCCACCAAGTTCTTTCCACAGTAGTCTCATTTATTCAAATTAACCTCATTACCTGAGAGTCACTTCCAGTCCTTGTTCATTGCCGTGTACAGCTATTACTGTTGGGTGACTAACAGAAACACTTGTGATTGTTGTACTCTTCTATGCATCAGCCCAGGCTTTTATAAACCTAGGTCTTCTGGAAACCTGTACTTGCAAAGTTTGTGCATGCAGACCATCACAGTTTGAACCTTAAACCTGTGTGCTTTACAGATACATTGGACATAGATACAGAAAGATACTCATGCACCACAACGCACCAGATGCATGCAGAAGTGTCTATCGTGAGTACAAAAGCAGAGCTGGGTAACCTTTCCTGCCTACTGTTTCACTTTATTTGAAAGCATCTGAAATATTTCAGTTGTATGCTGAAATAATCACCCCTTCAGACATGATTCCTCACAGATTCAGAGGAGATACAGATTCCTGGACACATAGTGAAAACTGAAGTGCTAGCAGTGGTCCTACACCAGTCATGCTAAAGACCAAAGTAGACCTGCTGCTCCTCTACAGTAGCTGAGTATAAACTTCAAAAGGCTGTGTGCCATCTGTAGGTACCCTGAGTTTTGCACATTCTGGCCATGCCCACACAAACTGGGAACAGTGGTTTGTGCTGGTTTTACGTCTTATGAGGTCTCTTTTCTGCTAAACAGATCTCCCACAAGAAAAAAAGACTTAACTAAGGTACAAGGACCTGCTAGAAACCCCCCTTGTATGCTAAGATCCTAATCAAGCTTCTAGTTCTACATCAGAAAAAAAAAAAGAAACACCTCCAAAACAACAAGGAATTTACCGAAGTAAAACTTTCATCAAAAAACCAAGAGACTGTACTTATTGTACTCAAGACAGAGATCTCATCAAGCTCAATGACATTTCTGTTTGAGGAAAGATGGGATATGGATTTGATCCTTTATGATTTACTCTCATTTTTCTTCTTGTGCGCATTCAGTTGAGGTGACAGATTTCAAAATGAATAGATGAATGCAGCTGGGCATAAAGACAAAGTCTGTCACCCACTTCTCACCTCATGGCCAAGAGGAATATTTTGCATATCAGTAATTTCCAGGATGCAGAACAGTGAATAGATGCGATATGAGGTTTAGCCAACTAAACCCCAACTTCTATAGAATGTAATATTGAATGTAATTCGATGAATGTATTTCAATGTATTTCAATGAATGTAACTCAATGAATGAATATTTGAATGTAATAGGAATTCTGTGTTTTGACTAGTACAGTTTTCGAAAGCAGAAGAAGATACAATTTTGATTACGTATGCAGGAACATATGGGCACTCTTCTGAAACTGTATTTGTTTCAAAATTCTCCAGTGTATTTCATCATGTTCTCATAATGTTTCTTCCTTCTACCTTCTGTGGTATTTCCCTGGATCACTTTGAACAGATGCAGTATGTTTTCCCTAAGAATATAGGCCAGCTTGTGAGGAAAGCTGGAATAATTACAGTAGCTTTTGGCTTGTTCAGTATGACTATGTAAGTTTGGTCTATCTGATAGCAACATAAAAGAATCTGTTTTTGTTCCTTTTTGCTGCCTCTTTAATTGATGCCACTGCAAATAAGAACACTATTTTGCAGAGTATTCCTTTTCATGTTACATTTATGAACTCAAAGAGACTTTGATTAGAGGTCTTCAAATCTTTTGCAGAAGTTACCATGAGATCTGCCTAATGCCTTCAACTTTATATCTGGATAGTAACATATTTTACTCCACTGTTTCCATGAACTGTTTCAGATGACTCCTGCTTGTATATATGCCAGAATGGCGAAAGACCAGAGAGTTCAGAAGAAGAGAGTGCCATGGGAGTGCAACAGGAAAAGGTCCCATGTTGCAGAAGGCAGGTGCTTATGTCCTATGGCGCACACTGCTACACGAAGGCATTACATTATTGATGGCTGGGTCCGGTATCACATTCTTGTCTGCTACTTGTGTGCATTCATCTGCAAGCATTTGCTTGTGAATTGTAGTGATTTTTTTCATCAGTGCTGAAGGAACAGGACCAAAGCTTTACCAACAGTTGTCTTCAGGTGCTATGCCACTGTACTAACCTGTGAGCACTTCATCCACTCTAAATCAAGGCTAGTGTGTGTCCTCTGAATGTAAGAAGCAGCCTGAAAACAGATGGTTTCCATTAACTAATAAATTATCTGTGGCTATTTTACTGCCTAAGTACAATAAACCTTATCCCAATACTTACCAGAAATCCATTAGTTTTTCCAAGAAGTTGGATGGGATTTCACTGGTAAAGGTAATAGCTTCTATTTTATCTTCCCTCTTATGAAGGAAGTGAATCTATATGGATTCACTGAAAAGTTTTCACTTTTGCAGTGGAAAATATTCAACAGTTGTAGCTGGGTTGAAATAATATGACTGAAGATTACACCACACAATACAATAATTAATGCCAAAGACATTGCTCATCAGTAAAGATGACAGTGCACTGGTGAGTCTGAAGGGTAAACACGGTTCTGCAGTTACATCTTTCAGAGCACTCATGAAATATGAGAATTGGCTTATACTGACATAACTGAAAGTATGTCAGTATTATGATTGATGTAATTAGTGCCGGTTGCTTATATAAAGCAAATAGTATTACTAAATCTGACACATGGTGATGTGGTATTGTTATAATGGAATTTCTTACCTTTTCATTTTGCTTTAGCTTCAATTTTAAGTAAATTTCAAATAAACTTTAAGTAAATTCATCCCCCTGTAAACTGGTGTAACTGCTATTGAACTACAGTACGGGTGTCTCTATGACAAGTAGGAATGCAATCTCTAAAGGCAATGCCTCATTCATTATGCCTCAATACCTCAAATGAAGGTTTTCTCTGTAAAGCTCCACTTTTTACAGAATCATAATTTAGTCATTTGGAAAAATGTCAGTTTCCAGAAAAAAATGTCTCGGAAGCCAGAGGTCAGAGACAATACAAAAAAGTCTTTTAAAATTCCCTGTCACCAGCTATGTCTTAAAATAAATAGTTATTTTTTATAAAATGTCTATTTTTGTTTACTAAAACACAATACAAATTCTCCAAGAAGAGTAAACTACAGTTTATAAGAAGTAAGTGAAGAGATGGAACAGAGAGAGAAACTTATCCTGTTTGAGACCAGCAAGTCAATTTTTAGACAGCCAATGGAAGGAACTAGAACTTAATTTGTCTCTACAATACTGGACTATATTCCGTTGAGCACAAGATGTTTTTAGTGTAAGAAAATGCCCACTGCCATTTTCTCCTGCTCTAGGAGCTGAAGCATTTCCTTATTGCTCATGTTTTGGGTAGCAAGGCTTTATTCTAGGGGCTGGTTTTGTTGATGCTTGCCCCAGCACTGCTTAGAAGAGCCCAAAGGCTCATTTAATGTGTCCTCTAGATTTAGTCTGTTAGCAATGATATGTGAACCAACTTCTGTGAGGTATTCCAAGTTGATCACCTGCTGGTAGATTACAGCTTCTAAGCAATTTCTGGTAAAGCATACAGTCTGTATCATGTTCTTCACATTAATCTAAAATGTTTTAAAGACTGCAGGTTCTTGTAAGCTAATGGCAGCTAAGTTTTTTGGGATGTGTAGAGTACAGAATAAGATTCTAGTGGGTTGATCTCTTTAGTCAATTTAATGAGGAAAACCTAATGACAACCTGGCTTCAGCATGAACAACCAATTGCTAAGCAAGAACAAGTCTTTTGGAGACTAAGGATATGGCAGATTGATTCGGTAATGAGTACAGAAACTTGTTTTTCCAGTATGCAAAGTGAACATAAAACTATAAATCAATCCTCCAATCTTTTGTTCCAAAAATACGCCCATTAACCTCAATGAGGATCCTCGTATGACTGAAGTTTTCAGGTATTAGCCTTCGACGGGGTTTTAATTACTTTTCTGCCTATTTTTAATTCCTACAAGAATCAAACTATGGAAAGTAATTTTTCTGTTTATTAATGGAGAAAATGACAGGTGGTTTACTCTCCCTCCGTTATTGCTCCTGTCCCTTTGGCCTGTCATGGGAGGTAAATTCTGTAAATTAATCTGTATTATTAAGCTATCCTCCCTAAATAAGACCTAGTATATCATTGTACATGTATTTTGGAAAAAAAGCACAGTGGATATTTTAGAGATTTCATGAACATTCCAGTTAGCCTGCTTTAGAGATGATCAGCATGGTAATGGAAAAACAAGTGTACAGGTATGACTGAAGACTTCCCTAGGGCTGTACTCTGCTACCACCTTCAAGCAGGTTTCTTCCTGATTTGCTCTATTTTTAAAAGGGAAAAGCCTTGATGAGTAAAGATGTTTGCTGCTACTGATGAGTAATGTAAACATTCTTGATATTAACAGAATTTTAATTTTATCAACGTTGTGGAGCGAGGTATGCCTACAGTGCACTGGTGTGTAAGAATTTAACTGACAAGGCAGTGTTATTTAACGGACAGAATCAAATACCATTTGCTTGTGTATGGCAACCTTTGGTAGAATCCGTGCTCCAAGCTCTGCACTGACAGACACCCAGTCGAGCCTGCCTGTGAGCATGCATGTGCCTCAATGTCCCAAGTGTTTTAAAAACAGTGCTCACCAATCTGGTAGGCCTGTCTCCGCAGTGTTCTGGAAGCTCTCTGTCCCTTCTTCTTTAAAAACATCTGGCTTCCTGAGGGTAAAGGAAGCAAAAGGGGTATAATAAAGAGCCAGAGAAGGAGAGGCTCCTGGGGTGAAAGGGATGCTCTGTGCCCAGCTGTGTCCCCCTTGGTGGCTCTGAATATTCAAAATCATCAGGGGAAATGCTTCCTCTCTGCAAGGCCAGCCAATGGGAGAGAAAGGGAGTGCACGGGAACACCTTTCTGTTATAGGTTGGACAGGCTTCTCACAAGGATGAGGAGTTATGGAAGGATTTAGGCTCAACTGGGCATGCCAACAATGCGTAGTTCGTCTTTGCTTGCAGAGTCTATGGAGAAGCTTCTTTACTCTTGACTTCCAGACAAAGCAAAATGAAGTGTTAAACACTGACATTTTGGAAGGAGGACCACAGATAATGGGAAAATATTTGGAGATGGGCCCCACAGAAACATTCCTACTCATGCTTTCTAGCTTCTTATTCAGGAAATGGGTCTCAAGTGATATTAAATTTCACCTTCTTGACTACAAGGGGGAAAGGACTGTATTTATCCTAATTTTGTATCTCCATAGTCAATAAAGATGCCACTTCATTCATGAGAAGCTTCATACCCAGCTACCCTGCTCCAAGAGGCAGGACTAGAAAAAATGTCCCAAGACCGAAAAAGTTACTGCCATCAGGACCTTATTTAAAACAATGTTTTGCTATGAATTATTATTTTATGAAGACAGCATTTCCTTTCACTGGGAAGAAATAATTTTTAGATAGTGTCCTTTTTAAGAGAAATATGAAATAAGCTGAAATCTATGTTTTTATCCTCTTAAATGTAGGACAATTAAAATGTAAAAAATCTTTATTTGACATGAAGATTAATAAACGTCTCTTTTAGAAAAACTAAACCAAGATGATCCAGACTGAAATGGACCAAGTCATGAATCACCATTGCGCAACTCTTGAGCCCTTCCTTCTTTTCAGCTGGCTGGACTGTTAACAACAACAAAGTCGGGCTCCCTCCCCAGTACCCAGCCCAGGCTCTGTTGATCCTGCCCATAGCAGCTGCAGTCTATCATTTCAAAGATCTCTCCTGGGCACATGCGGATCCTGTCTGACTAAGGAATGTGAGGAGAAGACTGGGCCAGTGTGCCTGTTATACTGTTACGCATGCACAAGGACACTCCCGACACGAAATCTAAAATCCTCTTTATCACCTTGTAAGTCCATGCCTGGTTTCTCTCATAGGTCATCACAGAAAGGGTCTGTCAGATCAGATGCATACTAATGTTGTTTGGAAGTCAAGGAAAAATATTAAAACTATTCAGGTTATAAGTTTAGATGTCCATTTCTTTCTGTCAGTTTTCCCAAGATTGCCATTTCCTAAAATGGCTTCAGTCCCTCATTTGTACTTCTATTCATTGCCAGAGAACAAAGTCAGTCTTTGCTTCCCTAAATAAGGTCACTGTATCAGGAATTGACATACAAAAGAATTTCAGATTTCATAAGTGATCCCTGCTTCTGGTTTACTCATCAACATTACAGATAGCAGTCTCAAAAAAATCAAGAACTTTTTCCAGCAAGAAGCTAAACTCTAAGAGTGCTCCCACTCCCACAATGTTCTTCCCCAAGAAGGCAGATTAAAACTGCAGATGTTTCTAAACAATGCAATGAATTACACAGAGGTAAGGAAATAAAAAGCTTCTTGTTGAAACTTCCAGAAAGTTTCAAATTCATTTGAGCATCACCTATTCAAATAGCCAAAGCTCTGACTGGCATTCTGGCATGGTTTTTATAGATCACTATTGCTGTGTTATTTCTGCTGATACGGTCTTCTGAGTTTGTGCTTCTACTACAGATTGTCCATTAGTATAACATGAAAATTAATTTAGTTCTATGAAGTAAGAGTTAAGAGATTATTTGTGACCAGGAGAAATAATTTTGATAGTTTTGTCTGATTTGGTATTTAATATAGCCTGGGAACCCCCCTGAACTTGATTCTGTTTGAACTGTAGATCACATTTAAATAAATATCCAATCTTGCATTGAAATGAATATCTATCAAAGCACGTGATATAGTTTCCTAATGACAATTACTTTCACAGTTAAAATTATGCTTTGCTTACAGTCTGAATTAGATTAACTTTAATATCTAGCTATTACTGATGAAATAGAAACTTTATTCAAAGTTTATTCTCCATGTGGCTCAGTATTATTGGAATGTAATCAAGTCATCTTGTAAGAATATTTTTGAACTAAACAGCCTAAGTTCTGATACTGTTGGAGTATATGGTCCATCCTTCAACCACTTAAAAAATTAAATGGCCCTCCTCCGAATTCTATAAAATATACTGTTACTGTCTTGTCCTGGGAATACAAAGGTAAGGTCAAAAATAACCTCCTAATGCTACATGAGACTTAGCTCTTTATACCTATGCTAGAACTTGTATTTAGCAGATTACTCGCTATGATTCTCAAATCTTCTCCTAAATCTCTACTTCTCGGGATATAATCCTCCATCCTGTAAAATTTACATACATTCTTTAGTCCTATATGTATCAATTCATACTTGGCTCTATTAATAATATACTCATAACCAGTTTTCTAAGTGATTCATATTGCTGACACAGTGACCCATCTTCAACATTCACCACTTTGATCTTTCCACCGTATCTACTGCCTTTATTAGTTTTAATTATTTTCTTCTTGGGTATTAATAGTAAAATTTCAATCCTCAAAAATTTCTCAGTGACTTGGGAATCCTAATTCCTGCATATGATCTAGATATTAAGGATGCTGAAAGTCATTTAAGTGGATGATATTTTGGCTGTAAACAGAATTTATGTCTGAAGTATTTTTTAAAACATTAACATATGCCTCAAGAATAGACTACAGTAGTTTTTATTTCCCTCCAACAAATACAATTACAGATTCCCTCTGTTTTCAAATATAGGAAGATTTTCATAGCATTCTGTCCTCTTTATTATTTGCTGTTTAGCGTCATGTTCTACTACTGGGCTGTGATTCTATAAATGCTAATTTGAGAAGAAGTCCATGCTTGTGTTGAGGGCAATTATGAGAATGACACACTGTTGTGCATTAGCTTTGCGCCTGTCACCTCTACAGCATGAAATTTTATTACCTGTCACACTATGTAGTTTCCTACTGGTACAAAAGATCCCCTGGGACTTGCACTGCCCCGTTTCACAAGTTCTTTTTTTTCACCTCTGTTTTGGCTCAGATGTTTCTTTGTGTTTTCTGAGTATGTGCCTTAGATGAGATGACTTGTCAAGTATGACAACTTATCTGAAGTTTGCCCTAATGATTATCAAGAGTTGTGACAGATATTAAACATTTCTGCTTGAAAAGAAGAGTATTTTTCTTGACAGGGCACAATGAGAGCGAAAACCTCCACATCTGAATCACCTTCAAACTGTTAACCAGCATCCCTGGATTCATTAGGCTATGACCACACTTTATGACACCATGATCCTTTCAGCAGATCTAGAACTGAAGTCACTTTAGCAAAAACTAATATTGTGACATTTGATTTAAGGCCTTTTCTCTAACAAGCCTTTTCTTGAAGTCATTTGTTAAATGATACTATACTACTACTACTAATTCTGTTCACGGTGTATTTGATTGTACCCAAGCTGGACATTAAACTGGTGCAGGGAGAGGCTAGGATTCTGCTGAGTGCAGGGAGTGTCTGAATTTTGCCTATAACTCATATTCTAATTCATATGATTATATATGTCAAGTTGATACTGCATAAGAAATTTGAGAGTTAGAGCAGTTTCCCCATTCTTCTCCCTCACTCCAGATGCAACCCACACAAGTACAAAAGATTTAAATCTCTTTTTGGATGGCAAACATAAAATTCAAGCAGACTAAATCCTTGAATGAGATCTTAGTATCCCTTCCAAAATATGAAGGGGCTCTTTCAAAGCCTTTATTTTAGGGATATCATACAGTGATGCTGTTACAATAGCAAGGGTGATTTTTAATGGGTTTACCTGTCACTTAGGAGCTTTATGTCAAACAGTATGTCATGAAAGGGAGGTATATAATGAGAAACTAATCACTTCTAATGTAGAAAAGCTCTCATATGCTGCTGATTTTATAACTATTCTAATAAATTTTTAAAGCAACTGAGAAGATAATGTGAATTTATTATTTTTCCTGAGGAGAGAGAAAGATTCTTTCATTTATTTTATTTCATTTATTTTCATTTATGAGCCTGTGATTTCACGATGGAGAGAGAAAGAATCTTTCTCTCTCCATCGTGAAATCACAGGCTCATAAATGAAAATGCAGCTGGAAGCAGCTAACGTTATACATGCCTCCGAGAAAAATGATAAGGGAATTAGAAAATAGGGAAAAGAATGCAAAGAAGGGGAAAATGCACTCATGTAAACAAAGGTAAAAACAGAGGAAATTGATTTCATTACATATGTGACCAAAATTCTTCAGCAAGTTTAGTAAGAGTCTCTTACTGGAGGAAAACTGTCAAAATGGAAGACGGCTTTCTACAACAGAGGCCCATGCTATAGCAGATTTTGCTAGAGCCAAACTTTGCAGCTTTAAATAAATAGTGGATACAAAGAACAACACAAATTAAATAACCAAACACAAAAATATCCTGATAATTAAGTTAATAGAGTTCTACAGATCAGAGATGTAACTCTTGTTTTTATCAATGGTTTCCAAAGAACCAAATGATTTCATAGACTATAAGCAAAGGAAATGAAATTAGAAGCCTTTTTAACTTGGCCTTGTTATACGAGACAACACTCAGGAGTACATTGGAATACCAGTTTTAACTGGCCAGTTGTTTTTGCAATCTTTTAGCAAGTGATTCTGTGATTCAGACAAAGATGTAAGACACAACAGTAAGAACAACATCCCAAAGAGTTCTTCCTCTTTTTGGTTTTGCATGTGTTTCTTGTGCTTGTAGTGGTTCTGGAAATGGAATATCTTCCATTTCTACCCAGAGGTGTGTGCTTTTCAAACAGCTTGTTTTTTACATGCTAAGAACACAAATAGAGAAAATCTTGGCTTCTAGCCAGGCATATCTTCAGCTGTATTGCATTTTCCAGGTTTGTTCTCATATTGCTTGCTTCTAGGATTTTAACTGTAGATTTTATCTATGTTTTGGACTTGCTGTTTTTAATTTTGAATATTGAGTTATATATACAATTTATGAGAACAGAAACAATGACCATCTCAGAAATTGTTAAAATGCTCCAAAAAGAAATAAAATAGTGGTTTCAATTTAAAATGCAAATATAGGCTAAGTGAGATTTGAGTGGCCACTTCAAAATGTAGCTTCACGTATGATTAATACGCAAAGGCATTTTAAAGTGCTCCTAACTACTCTGCAGACACACACAGACATTCCACATGCTTCCCCATCCTTTCACATTTTCTTTTGGAACGTGATTATGTGTATCATGGTCCTGGGCTTTGAAGCAGCTGGACAAGCTGTTTTCTCACCTAAACATCTCTGAGTGATTCACATCCTGAAATGAAATACAGGAATACTTACCTCTAAGTTTGTCTTTGCAAATACTACTCTAAAACAATTTTCATGCTCTGTAAATATGACTGAAAGAATTTCCATGCTTGTTAAAAAACTTGACCCATTATAGAAATAGTAATACTCAACTGTGCTCCCTATTAGCTGCTCTCTTACAACTCCATTCAGTCCTTATGGTATACAGTAAGTGACACTTCCAATAAAATGCAGTGAAAATTTACTCCATGTAAAATGTATAAACAAAAAGAAATAGGGAAGAAAAAAATATAAACCCCAAATGTGAAATATGGGAAGGGAGAAATACATTACAGTGATACCTTTGAAGAAAAAATGGTGAGTTTTTAATTTGCTCTCCTGAAAAGTATTGTTTCATAGAATCATAGAATGTTTTGGGTTGGAAGGGACCCCTAGAGGCCATCTAGTCCAACCCCCCTGCAGGAGCAGGGACACCGCTAACTAAATCAGGTCGCTCAGAGCCCCATCCAACCTGGCCTTGAATGCTTCCAGGGATGGGGCCTCCACTACCTCTCTGGGCAACCTGTTCCAGTGTTTCACCACCCTCATTGTAAAGAATTTCTTCCTTATATCTAGTCTAAACCTACCCTGTTTTAGTTTAAAACCATTACCCCTTGTCCTGACACAGCTGGCCCTACTAAGAAGATTTTCCCCATTTTGTTTGCTGGTATTTTTACTACACCTGTAGGTATTGCAGGCATATAAAATCTCTTTTTCACTGTCTAGATACATATTATACATACAAAATAAACTGCACATATACATGAGCACACACAAATACACATAGTCTATGGTTTAACACCAGTAAACCATATAACAGACACCGAAGATGTAAACCGATTCTGTAAACATGCTAACTAAAATGTCAAAATCGTACCCTTTGTAAGATCTCTCTGGTAAGTCTCTTGCATTTGTTCAAGTGCCATGGTACTCCATCAAATCAGTCATGTTAGTCCAAAAGATATATAATGGAATATCCATACGGGCAACATTCTCTCAGTAGCTTTATTACATAATGAAATAATATCATACTTATTATCAAACTAATTTACATAATCAGATCTTCCCTTTGACTGAAACAGAACTGCAGATGCATTTTGTTGTAAATATGTGATTGGGCATGTGAGTGCGAGAAGAATGGCAGAAGACTTGCTAAGACAGAATCCTGCTATCAGGTGGGGAAGATTCTTGGCTAAGTCAACAGTACTGAATTAGTCTTTCAAAACTTCCTGCAAAGTACAAAATCACTCTACAATTGGAGTCTCATTATTTCTGTTCTATGAGCTAAAGTAACTGCTTCTGCAGAAATTACTCCCCAAGCATGAAATCAAAAGTTTAAAAAGAACTCTTATTACCTTTACCAAGGTAATACTATCTCAGGACACATAGAACATTTTAATAGTGAGGATTCAAAAGTATCAACCTCTCTCATAATTGAAAGAAAAGCTGCAGACACTTGTCTACCTTTGACTGATATATATGTTTGCTGTCTGGTTTTCAACTAGCATCCAATGAGTAAAAAAGGGTCACAAAATGTATTTGTAAAGAATATAGAAAAGTAAAATGTAGAAAAGTAAAAAAATTCTCTTTAGCCTTAAATCTCACTACAAGAAAGACATTGAGGTGTTTTAACGTGCTCAAAGAAGGGCAACGACGTTGGTGAAGGGTCTAGAGAGCAAGTCTTATGAGGAGCAGCTCAGGGAACTGGGGTTGTTTAGCCTGGAGAAGAGGAGGCTGAGAGAAGACCTTATCACCCTCTGCAACTGCCGGACAGGAGGTTGTAGTGAGGTGGGTGTTGGTCTCTTCTCCCAGGTAACAGGGGATAGGATGAGAGGAAATGGCCTCAAGTTGCACCAGGGCAGGTTTAAATCGGATATTAAGGAAAATTTCTTCAGTGAAAGGGTTGTCAAGCATTGGAACAGGCTGCCCAGGGAAGTGGCTGACTCACCATCCCTGGAGGTGTTTAAAAGATGGGTAGATATAGACATGGTTTAGTGGTGGACTTGGCAGTGTTAGGTTTACGGTTGGACTCAATGATCTTAAAAGGTCTTTTCCAACCTAAACGATACTATGATTCCATGATTCTAAAATTGTTTGCTATTTATTACTGAGAGCTTTCAAGATTAATTATCTGCACAGACACTCCATGCCTAGGAGGTCACAGAAAAAATTCCTGAAGGCAATGGAGTACATAGTTATAGCTTTGCACAATGACCTTAAGTTAAACTCTCCATAAGACATAAAGAACAAACAAGCTTTTCACTCTTATTTTGCCAGAGGGGCTACTAGAAAGATGTTCAGGGAAAGCACCTTTTCTATTGGATTAACCCACTGTTAATGACAGTATGTGAGTTGATGCTGACAGTAATGTTGATGACAGTAGCAGTAACTTTTGGTCATGCGGATGGCAAAAAGTTCCAATATTTTGTTGGAAAAAACCCCTGCCAATCCTTCTTTTATGTAGAGATGACTCTCGGGAGCTGACAGCCTTTTTGTGGCTGTTCTCTTTTTTCTCAGACAATTATATCTAAATAAATGTATTATATCTCTGGATATAATGGTTTTATTTGAGACCTATTCCTTGAAAGAACAGTCTCATGAGTTTAGACTCGTGGCATGAATTCTCCACCTGAAATTGGAAGCATTCATGGGCAGGAGGTTTTTGATATTTATTGCTGTTTGGAACAGCAATGGAGTTTTTCCAGGCCAGAGAAGGAAAAAGGATGCCTGGATGCAGTGGGAGTATCCAGAAGGGTTCCCTAAGATAACAACAACCACTGAAGTTGCTGTGTGCCACATTTCCTGTATGAATACTTCAAATACAACTGCATTTCCTGAAGCCACCATTCAGGTTCATTCACATATTGTAAAACCACACAGAGGTTGGCCCATTCATATACATTCTGTCAAGCTACCCATGTATTGAATCCTGCACTAGGGAAGACTGGTTTTGAAATGAGCTGTTCCCTAGCAGTGACCTTGTTTCCGTGCTTGGGAATTTTGTCATCAATCAATGTGAAATGAGAGTGATGGAACTCACTATTTCCCTTTTTTTTTTTTTCTTTCTCATCTGGCCTCACTTTTAGCTACCCACAAGGTATACCCTTTTTCTCAAACAGGTGGAGGTGAACCTGAACAACTCCCTATCAAACAGTCTGTCAGTTGGCTTGATACCCAAAATGAGAAACAAGAAAGCCTGTTCAAAGCCTTTGGCGCTCAATAAATCAAGGAAATACATTATGCTGAGTAACTCAAGCCATGGATGGCAGGCACTGCACAGTCTTGCAAAGGACAAAAGACTGAACACTTCAATCACTTATCCTAGAGCTCTCAACAGGAGATGTGACTTCACTACCACTGGGAAAAAAGGAGTAATCACTGTCAGATGAACGGAAAGATGGATCACAGGGTACTACTCTGTGGCAATCAAAGTAGAGAGACCAGTAAAGGAAAAAAAAAATTGATTCTTTTAAATTCTTTGACATATTTCTGGAAATGTTGAGCAACACCCAGCAGTGGGGCTTTCCCCAAAAGATAGTTACTCAGAATCTGACAAAATTTTATACTCTAAATTTATTTTGGCAAGGAAAATAAACTCTGAGAGAAACTTTCCTTCTCCCTTTATTAGATCAGAAGAAAGTATAGTTGCTGTAGAACTGTCTCATCTTATGTGTATTAAGTATGGTGCTTTTGATGACACTGCAGTGATCAATTTGTAGCAGTAATAGGTGTTTCAACAAAGAGAAGGCAAAACAAGATAAACACCATTCAATAAAAATTTTAGCAGATGATTCCTCTTAATATTAGAATAGACTTATTTATCTCTCTAATGAAAAGGCTAAATATGTTCTCCAAGATGTGCCCTGTCACAACACTGTGACACTTGCAATAAGTGACATTTTCTCTGGTATTTCTTTTTTCCGTGGATGCCATAAAGTTCACTGCATGAATATGAAGTGACATCTTTACTAACGTGTGGTACTTACTTATCTCCCACAATTCCCAAGTTGATTGTTGGATAGCCATGTTCTTGGATTGTAGCTAGGAGAGTTGAACGGTTACTGTCCCGAATCTTTCCTGGCAAGAGGTCATCTTCAGGATTCAGTAGCTATAAAACCAGAAACACTCCCAGTCAGTCTCCTTGGAATACTGTGCCTTTACACAAGTGAGAATTTTATTCTTCAGATTGGACAGGATATTCTTAGACACCAAACATAAAATACATGTGTAAAGTGGTTTAGTGAATTTAAATTATAAGATATGCAATGTGCTTGTTTAGTCCAATCCTCCATATTGCTTAGTTTGTTTCTGTTGGTTCATGTCTGCAAAACCTTCTTTCTCCTTATGAGTACCTGGCTTCTAATCTCAAATATTAGAAATCAAACCACAAAATTTAAGTTTCCAAGATTCTGCTTCTATTTAAATAGTTTTAAAGGAACCTCAGTGATGTTGCTAATCAGACTTAAAGGTATTAAAAGAAATTTTGAAGTTCATTGTCTAGTTACCAATGAAGATGTTTTTTAAATACAACAATCTGTATTGGAATAATAGACAGAAGCTTAACACTTGGTTCTTACATCAGTTACTGTTTTGGATGAAAAGCTTTCTCTCAAGATAGTATCATGGCAATTGCCTTACACGAGTTACATATTTTGGAAGTTAAAATACAAAGCATACATATCTAAACATGAATTTTACATATATTAGGAATACTTTTGTAGGACACAGAAGGACAACACAATACGGACAGGAGGTAAAAAATAGTAAGAGGAATTTATCTGTCAAAATTACAGCAATAGTGTTAGGTAGTAAGGTAAGAATAATCCAAAGTGGAGCATGGCTAAATTTTGATGCTTTGACTAGCAGCTCTATTTCTGTGAAGATTTCCACAGGATGTTTAAGAAACACACTGTGCAGGCTCTTTTTTAACACATGATACAAAAGAGAGTGCCCAGATCAGTAAAGGACCCTTTAATGACATGCAAGAACCTTCAGTCACATGGAAGATACTCTTCAGAAAATCATCACCTTTAATCCTTGCAGCTCTTTGGATTTGTTCTTTGGTTAGGGGCATGTTTCCAGCATGACACACCCTGTCTATGTTATGAAATCTGGCATGATTCTGTCCCAGCAAGGCTGGCCTCAGCCACCCACAGTACCCAGTAGTCACAGAATAACCTTCACTGGCGTTGTGGAAGTTGCAAGGACACCACCAGATGACAAAATTCAACATGCTAGAAGTTTTCAAAATCTTTCAAAATTCAACATATTCAAGCTGTATGAGAATACAGCTATTGGGTTTATGTTTGTGTCTCAAAAAGTTTGTCTCAAAGGACAGTCAAAATTATTGGTCAAACTTAATGTTGTCTTCAAATTTCAAACTAGCTTTATTTCAACCCACAAGTTCTTTTGCTTTTGCTCTTCCTATTCTCTCTGTCCTGCTGTGGGAGGGAATGAGCAAACATAGTTGCTGGCCGGGGTCAACCCACAACATATGTAAAATTAGTAAATTAAGTTAATCTTGAACCTGACTTTTCTAATGTAGTTAAGACAAAGCAATTAGAAAGCTGGTCTGGAGTTCTACCAACAGGAGATTGTCTGGATTTCAACATGTACTACTATTAAAAAAAAAATTAAGGCACAATACTACAGCAAGGCATTTGATAGTGCTATTCAGTTTTCAAAGACAGGTTATCTGCCATTTGCACTACAGCTACAGAGGCGTGCTGCTCAATAGAAATTACTATTTCAGTGATGATTGGCAGTATGAATTACAACCCCGACTATCCCACAGGTCCTCCCTTGCTGGCAGGAGGAAGGCGGGTGGCACATGGTTGGATACATTACCAAAATTTTGGCAAAGACAGCGTGTAAGACTTGTGAGAGAGCCCTCAACGGAGAAAACACAAGCAGCTGATTACAGGTTGATCATTTACAAAACACTTTGTGTCAGCATGAGTTGCAGCTCAAAAAGTGAGTCTACTTGGAATTAGGGTGGAAGTCATTATCCAAAACACTGTCATGAAGAAGATACAGTAATTCAGACCTTGGTTCTAAACATATTTTTCTTACCTCATTCCCTGTTGACATGACTGCGACCACTGGGAACTTGTTAACTTCTACTTCGGTTACTCCAACAGTTGCTAAGAGACCAATCTCAGATGGACCCATGTGGGTTCCTTTAGCCAGCACACATTCACCTCTTTTAATGTCATGTCCTATAGGTCTGAAAATCATAGCACAGAAAAACACCGAAAGAAAACCAGAATGAGATTGAAGTATCTTTCCTTGATTGGTTCTGCTCCAGGTGAGCAGTGTCCAGGGATGTTCATTAATCAGATTGTCAAAATGTCAGTACTACTTATGGTTAAAAAATGACTATAAAAATCACCAGCTCTTCTATTCCTTACAGAGATATTTTGCTGTTTATAAAGTAGGCTGTTCACAGACCTGATATCTTGGCCTGGTCGAGCCTGCACCAGGATTCGAACTTCTAGTTCTTCAGTGCCCTACAAAAACAAGGAGATCAAATACGGTCAGCTGGGCTATTCAAAGAAGATTAATCAGCTTTAATTTCTCAGAATTCTACACAGCTTACAGTACCCATTACACTGAGTCCTTATGGTTTAAGCATCATCATTGTTCTCCTGATCTGTGTGTCAAGGTTGTAATACAATGTGCGCTAAAACTGAACAGCTTTATAAGAAATTCTCTTTGGTGAGCTCACCAGGGAAGGACCAGCACTGAATACATAGTTTTACCTTCCTTTTTTTATGATCCCTGTGTTTAGGTATCTTTCCTATGTTACATCCTATGTTTGTCTGTTGATCTGGCATACCAAGTGGATTCTCTCTACTCCTCTCAGCCAACTTTATCTGCTCGAACAATTTCAAAGATGGCATATCAAAAAGACCATTATTCTGACAGACAGTATGCCACTACCTCCTCAGAAAGGCAGGAAGAAGCTATGTGCTCCAGCTGTTTCAGGATTTTCATGTAGATTCCTGTAGTGGCAACTCCTACTTGAGAGCTTTGTACAAATCAGAAAGAGGCTTATTCATCATCCTTATTTATTGTGAACAAGAGACAGTGGCCTGAAAAGTTTTATGCTGACTTTAAAATTTGTGTTTACTCCTTCACAATTTCAATGGTTTGGTGATTCATTCAATGCCAATAAATGGCACATGACCTATATTGTTAATATTTAATTTCTAAGCCTTGCAAATGGGTTGATGATATGTACACTCAGCTTTGAGATAGCGCCAGCCTGTCAGTACCACTAAATCTACACTTACTTAGACTGAAACAGATTTTGGTTTTACATTATCATGTAGTGCTTCATACTTTAAGTACCTCAAAGTTGTAAATCAGACACTAACATTACAAGACAAACAAGGCATGTCGTTATCTTTTGGAATTTTTACAGGACCTGTTGTACAGGACTCTGGGACTTGTCTCTTTTCTTAAAGGTGATATGGACCGCGTCTTCTGAGTTCAAACTAAGTGCTTTAAACTAAAGGCCCCAAAGTTAAAGTTAATGAACGTGTGGTTACAGATTGTGATTCTATTTAATTACTGTGAAAATGGATACATTTAAACCCCTGAAGACCAGTAAATGAATAAGAAAAATATCAACCTTGAAAAATCTGATTTCTTACTTTATCACGGTATTTTCAAAATACGCTTTTAATGCAAATTCTATTTCTTTTATACCTGTTCCTATTGTATAAGAGAAGAGACTATTTTTGGCTGCTAGTGTCCAAAATGGGTGTGCTGGTGTCCAGGATGTCCCTTTAACTCCCTAACTGAAGCTGTAAAAGACACTTTAGGCTTGTGATGAAAATCTGGGCCAACGTTAGGCTAAAAATTATTTTATTTTTATGATGCTCTGGGCATGGTTGGCCAGTCATGAAGATTTGAGTTTTCCTTATCTTTGATAACATTTAAGATAGCTAGGAAGCTTCTAGGGAATCAAGAGGAGTGCCAATGATACATTTGAGTAATAGAAAAGGTCCTATTTAGGACTCCTGGTTTATGGGAAACAAACAAAAAAAAAAGGCTTTTGAAGACAGTAGTAATCCCAGGTTTGAAAAGCACTGTGGAAAGTGTAACTGTGGACCACACGGTGATGTGCAGAGATTGTTATTTATGGAACTGATGGATATCCCAGAATGCTTTAGGAATACAAGATAATTCAAGGTGGCTAGAGGTCGGGCTTGTAGGGAGATATGGCGTTATGCTGAGAACATCTTCCATTTAGTGTGTATCAGGCAGCATTCTTCTTGCTGTGTATTAATATATTTTGAACTATGTCTGAATGGTTTACTCTGATGGTTGTTAAAAGCCAGCATCAATACTGATATAGTGATGCTCAGTCTTGATGTAGGATCTAATTCTTGTTTTGGTTGATCACATTGGCCTCCTTTTTCCTACAAGGTGACACAAAAACTCAAAATGAAAAGGCTGTAGACATGTTTTTGCAAGGATCTTTCTAAATGGTTGTACATTTGGCAAGCTGATGAGAATTTTTCTTCCTGCTGGATAGATGTAATTCCTTTCAGGCCTGTGAATTCTACAGTCGTTTGGGGAATGCTTGCTGTGATATTTAAGTACTGCTACCACAACTAGAGGTCAAGGAGCTCCTTTTAAAAGTACTCTCTGTCTTTTCAGAAGAACATTTTTCAGATGCTAGAGATTTCATTTCAGTTAAATCCCAGCCCTGAAGGAGTTCTTAACACTAAACAGAAAAATATTCTTGAAAAATGTAGAGTAGTCATATTTTTTCTGTGGTATTTTGCAGCATCTGTAAGGTAGAGCCCTAATATGATTTATAGGTATGCTGGAAAATCTGTTCAAATTAAACAGAGTTAAGACCATGTTCTGGGGGAATATGCACCTTGTCCATTTCCTCATTTTCAGAGGTCTTAAATTCAGTAATTAGCTCATTTTAAAGGAGTACAGAAGTCTATTGAAGAAACTTAGTTATGATTTAAAAAAATTTGGGGGGGCACTTACTTCCCCTGTTACATAATAAACCCCCTTATTCTAAATACATGTATTTATTGTAAGGTATGTGCACAAGACACATTCTCCAAAATCCATCAAATTCACCTTTGCTGAAATGAGACCAACTCTGATAATACAGAATAATCTTCATAGCATAGTTCAAAGTTCCAAGTCATCCCATGGATTTTGCAGCACTTAAGACAGTTCACTCTCCCACAGAAAATCATATTCAGCTTTAATTACATCAGTGGTAATGCTGCACTGCAATATTTCAATGTATTATTCTGGGATCAATATGTACTTTAAGGAAACTTTCCCCCTTCTTACTTGATGAGTTTAGGAGAACTTTTTAAAGTCCTCATCTTGCTGAGTTTCAGGATGATCCTAAAATATAAAGAAGATTGCTCTACTGCTACATGTGAACTCAGTAGAAAAGAAGGGAATATAACGTCTGATTGCCACTACTCTTTATTTTAAAATGTGAATACACTAGGCACTTGAATTGGACTGTAGTTATGGATCTCCAGGAGGCATTTGCCTTTCACTCAACTCACGCTCCCAAATACTTTGGTGTCAGCATTCAACAACTGTGATGAAAAATCAAGTCAAGACTGTGGTACTGTTATCACAGCCTGAAAAAGTGAGTAGAATTGCCACTAGGAGCTGATGAAAAAATCCTCAAACTTCTGAGATTAACAGAAGACCTTTTCTGTAGGACTATCTTTCATATTTACAGTATTGTATCATGAGCCATTTTCTGCTGCACACAAAAGAAAAATGAGCTTTAACTTGTGACTCACATCATCCGATTCCCTGATGAGCTCTGTATCTTCCACTTGCACCACTGCATCAGCACCACATGGAATTGGAGCACCGGTTGTAACACGCATTACCTGACCAGGCATCACAGTCTGAGTTGGCTGAAAAATAAACAAAAAAATTAATTTACTTTAGAAAAGGAAAATCTCAAACCATTTGAACTTTATGGAAGTAATCTGAAAGACTAAAATTCTTATTTGTGGCATGACTCTTGATATACTGCTAGTGATATCAACTGGTATAAACTTTAATGTCTTTTAAGATCATTAGGTCATTGCTTCAGATCTGGCTTTTTCATACGGTCACATATTAGGTGGCTTCAGATTTTTGCCCTTAGATTTCTATCACAAGAATAACTTTCAGAAGAAGCAGTATGCTGATACTCTGGTTGGCTCAGGAAAATAACTGTCTCAGAAATATAAAAGTTAGATGGTGACCTTCTAGAAAGTTACATGAACAAAAATATAGTCATTCTCTGTACATAAATATTTTTGCAGAGTACTCCAGTCCCCAGGGTTGAAATTGCTTTGCTTTGGTTTGGTTGGTTGGTTTTGTTTTACCAGCACGCTACGCAGCAGCTTGTAAGTAAAGTAATGTAACCAGCTCCTTCATTTCTAAGCAGACTTCCTCATACTGACAGACAGCTCAACACTAGTTCCCATAGAATATCTACCTTTGTGAGGGTCAGTTTAGCAAAGCCTAAAATTGATAATATTCTACACTTACGTAAAGTCACAGTACACCACAAAGTTTCAGCAGAAGCGATGCAAAGAATAGAAAAATATCAGAACAACATGATAAAATAACGGATGTGGTTTTAATAAAATTTCTCACCAGGCAGCCTATTTTAACACACATTTTTCAAAATCCAGACTGAAATTGTAATTTGACCATAACTGCTTAAGAAATAAGTAACTAAAAGAAAAACCTTTCTAATAAAATGCAACTAAAAGAAGCTGGCATGATGACTGAGATTTCATTGCTGGAATATGGGTGCTTGCTCCTCTCAGCATTTCAGGAAGCCAAAGTTATTTAGGCTTTACTGTTATTAGTGAACACAGATCTACACAGCTGTCATCAGACCAACATATCCTGTATGTGTCACACGTACAATTCATGTGCAGATTGACTTTATATTCCATATGCAGCATTGGACTATGCCCTGGACTTAAAACACTAGATCAGGCTGCCCAGGGAAGTGGTGGAGTCCCCATCCCTGGAGGTATTTAAAAGCCGGGCAGACAAGGTGCTTAGGGACATGGTTTAGTGGTGGGATGGCAGGGTTAGTTTAATGGTTGGACTTGATGATCTTAAAGGTCTTTTCCAACCTAAATGATTCCATGATTCTATGACTTCTCAGACTGCGATTAGCACATATTTGATAGCAACCCCCAGACCTGCAAGGGGTACTGCCCAAGCACTGTCGCCTGCTCCTGCTCAGCTCTCATTTACTCCCTGACTTTTGACAGGAGGCTGTTGAACATCTGCAAATTCTAGACTGATGGCCAACGTTTCAGCTGAGCAAAGCTGTGTTTACCTTGCCCGTTCTTCTGGTCCACTTCAGTGCTGTCACAACCTCTGAAATGTAAGTATTACTTTGAAATGTGTGTATTTCAAAGGTTGCTCACTGGGATAGAAGCCCTAGGGAGGGGCTGGAAATGGTTTGTACCTGGTTTAGCACAGTATCACAGTGACCTACGTACCCCAAGAAACAACTGAGCCTGAAGCTGATTGAATCCTGACCCTTTTCTAAGGGTTACGGAAATCTAACATCCTTTGAGAAGAACATAAATAAAAGGCTAAAATAAACTAAAAAAAAAAAAAGAACACACTTGCCATATGTCATGGTTAGTGTGTTTTTAGGGCAAGATTCATCTTACCCTAAAGTAGGTATCTAAAACAGATGACATACAAATAGTATTTCTTTAAATGGTATTTATTTCTTACCATTGACTATGCAAGGAGCCGTGGATGAACAGTTGAGATGCTACCATTTATACTGAAGATGCTTATAAGTGAAAATAATTTTGTCTAGTGTGTTATTTTGATTTTTATGAAAAAAAATATTGCAAAAGGCAAAGCTTATGGGACCTCTCTTGCATATTGTTGTAGATATAGCCTACAGGCACCTTACAAATAGGTAATATTGTTTTGAACTTACTGAATTATTGATGTCTTTAGTGACAATTTTCAGAGGAAAAATGATTTGCATAAAAAAATTCTCCCATTTAAAATGTGTTTTTTGGTCCTCAAGAACCACAAAGAACATAAAATGTCTAGAACTCTGCCAGAAATCAGTGTCTATGGTGATAAAATGCTCTGTAACTATCCATGCCTTTGGAGTTTATTACTAGATGAGTTAATTTTTTGAGGTGTAATGATGTGAAACATTTAAATAAATTTATACAATAACAATCGCTTTTAGAATTGGTTGCTCATATATTTAATTTCTTTTTTGTCCTTTGAGAATTTGATCAGATTAACTTTATGAACAAAAGTCAACCATCAGATTTGTGTGTGAATCTCCAGGGCTGTGTTCTTCTGTGCTAGAGACTATGAAGATAAAGAAATTATTCCTTCTCAGAAAGCATACTAATGTACAACAATTTCACAGAAACTCTTTTGAAGGCCTTTGAGATCTCACACTTACTAGGAAAAGGACAGTACTGGGTTCTGTCCTTTGCCTTCATCATCAATAATCTATTTAATGTTAGTCACTGAATAAAACCCAGAAATAATCTATCGAGCACAGCCCCCATCTCAGGCATTTTCTCTTGCACATGATTACACCTGTCCTGCCTGATTTACAATGACCCATGCTCCTTTCTGTAAAAAGGCCCAAGTTAATGGAAAGGTGAAAAATGTCTGTTTTCCATGCTATATTACAGCTGGTTAGTCACAGGGCTTCTTACAAACGTCTTTAGAAAGTCTTCCAGGAAATGCTAAGCTCCAGCTATGCAAGTCTATAGGAAGAAAATCATTGCTCCCCATGGTTGAGTTTTTCACACAGAGGCCATGTGGATGGCTCGTGACGAGTACTCTCCGATGTGCCCTAACCTCCCCAAAGCAGGATAGTGTCTGAAAGTTTTCCTCAATACAAAATAAAAAGTGATTGTTAACATAAACATGACCATCTGGAGATGGAAATCACAAAATGCACAATTTACAAATAGATACAGAAATGTCCAAGTTGGCTATATGGCCTCTCTGCAATTCTCAGTCCCATTTTCTTTCTCTCTGTGTAGCATTTACATATCTTTTTCCCCTACAGGAGAAGCCAAATCTAAACCTATTTTGAACTCCCTGCTGTGAATCATTCTGTTAATTGGTCTGTAACATGAAAAGCAGAATGTTGCTGCTGAGAGTGACTGAAGGGTGAAATGAGACTGAGGAGCCTTCCAAGGCTATAAATAATTTCCTGCGAAGGAGATGAACCTGAAGATGTGTTGGCCCAAGAAAAAAAACTTTGACCAATTATTCAGAGGTCAACAGCCTCATTTTTCTAACTCGCCACTGGTATTTCCACCTATTTCTCCTCCCACCCAATTTTGTTCCTTGCCAGAGATGTTTCCCATTCCCATTAATCTGGGAGACAGACTGTCCCTGCAGAGAGACATTTGTGAGCTCTTGAATTTTGCAGGAGGGAAGCAAGCTCCCATTTGCCCTTTTATCCTTTGTACAAACCTGCTGACCTGATTAGGGCACTGAAACCCTTTAGACCTATGGGCAGTCCTCCACATTAGGCACAGCTTCAACAGTTTTTAAGCTGTTTTTAAGCACCACTCTGCTGTGATATTTTTTAACTGGCAAAATGATAATATTGATGACAGGTGAATAATGACAGGAGTGATAATTCAGCAGGTTGTTCTGCTGGTTTTTGCTATTTTACAGTGACCATAAAAATGGTTGTAGAAATAGTTGTCAGTCTTTTGGATTCTGGACCAATGCTTGAAAATGCAAACAGAAGGGCTAAAAATCCAAGGCAGGTGAAATTCATTAGTTTATTTTTTTTAGTATTTAAAGTAATTTTACATATTTTGTATAACAGATTCATTAATCTAAGATCACGTGAATATTAGTATTGGGAAGACGTCTATTATAGCAAAGTATAATTCATGATGATTGATGGGAACTACAACAAAAATTATTTTCATAGTTCTCTATCTATCATGATTAGCCATATTAAATGTCTATTATACATTTAGAGGCAGTTCAACTCAATTTAAAAAAAAAAGGATCAATCCTGCAACTGGTAATACTTTTAGAACTTGAAACAACTTTTGAAATGCATCTATTTTATTTGAGACTTTTTTGTTTAGCAATCAAAATAGCCACACTGTAAAATCCTCATTAAAACCGGTCAATCCTTTGCTCTGCCTGTTATTTATCCCATTTCTGCATCATTTCACATACAATATACAGAATTATAAACTGGGACTTCAAATAGCTGGAGAAACATTTTTGGATTAAACCATGCTCTCCTGAAAAGAAGGTACAATGTACAATTAAATTGACAGAATAATAAAAGTGTTTGAACAAAACTGATTTTTTCCTATCAATCACCCTTGTATTAGTACAGGAACATTATGAAATGTACTCTTGAATTTGAGAGCAAATCCCAAATAGTGTCTATCCATGAATATTTATAGAGCACAGCAGGTCGTGAATGGGTGCTGCCCTGACTTGCTCTTAAACTCAATGCACGTAACTGCTAAAGTGCACAAACACTCTTTTCATTTAACAAATAGAAAAGGAGTGATACTGCAAACTAGGCTACCACCAGGCTTCCTCAAGATTGCACTGGTCATTACCTACCTTTGAAGGCTTCATACAAAATTCTTACACTTTGCTTTGCAGTTATCAGTATGAAATATGCAAGCAGCTTGTGGGAACAGTTACTGGGCTGACGTGCCTTTTAAAATCTGTTGGCAAGAAGGAGTTAATTCTTGCTTTTCTCTGTTTATGAATTGTAATGCCACTAGAAACCTTACGTCCTCTAACATTGTACCAGGGCAGAACATTGCTGTATGCACTCCTATTGGACATGTCAGCGCAATGCTCTGAAGTATTTTGGGATATCCTTGTTAGTTCCTTACGTAACCGTACGACCTCGCTTTCTGTAATCATGTCCCAAGGCACATAGCAGGATGCTAGGTACAGCTGTGTCCTACTTCATGCCACCTCCCAAGAATATTGAGTTTTGGAGCACTAGCAAGGCTTGTAAAAATACAAAGCAATATCTTACGAAAGAAAAATACATTACAAAAAAAAAGAGAAAAGAAATTGTGCTCACCTGCTCACCAGCCTGGGATTCCCCTATGATGAATCGATCTCCTGGGCCATCAGCAGCTGTTAAGATGGACAATACAAATGGTAAAGGCTGAACCAAAACAAATGATGGCATTAGAAATTAAGAACAGGAGAACCAAAGAATGATCTAAGATTCAGTTCTTCACTGTCAGCATGACAAAGGTTATAGAAGTATTGCAAACATTTTACATCTTAGGTCCTTTTAAGTTGTCTTTATTATTTTGAAAATTACAGGTTCTATAGTACTTTTAACTGAATTTTTTTTGGCAATATGCGATCAAGTAAAAGGAGACTAGGAGGAATTACATTAATAACAAAGATTTAAGAGTGTGAGATTATTCTTTTAAAAATGTCCACTGTGAGCAAATCTTTTTTCATGTGGACCTAACACAGGAATCACATATTTTGTAAGTGTATGATGTATCTTTTTTTCTAGACAGTGATGGAATACTGACATTTCTAGATTCTACCTCTGCCTTTGGAGGAAAACGTGGACAAGTGCAGTGGTTATAGACTGTGTAGATGACCATACAGGTCTGGTGTTTTCTGAAGAGAGCTAGGACTAAGATAATGCAACTTGGATGGCCACATTAGAAGTCCGGGTTCTGTTCCTTTTTGTAATTTTAGGAGGTAGAACTGAACTAGTTACCTCATACCTTTCACTGAAGCCATTCTGAAAATTAAAAGTCAGACACCATTGACTGAACAAACTGAAAGTCTCCAGGACTTCTAATTTAGCCAAATCTGTATTTTTACAGGGACAACAAAGGCACCATTTTAATGAACTTCAAGCTTCTCACTGCCTCAAAGGCCTTTTGGCAAGTTGCAATAGTGGTACTATAGGCTCTATCATGGTGTAAAGCATGTATGGGGCACAAGCAACTATGCCTGTCCGAGCACAGTGGGCACGCTGTCAAGAGTGTTCAGACAATCTGGGTTCATGCAATCACATTTAAATATGTCTTTTTGTTAATTTTAAATCTGTAACTGCGAAAAGTTGATTTCCCAGAGATTAAGTCTAATCAGTGACAACCTTTATCTTAATACCTTCTGCTTTATTTCAAAAGCCCTGAATAAACAGCTAGATAACCTTATTGTATTGAGAAGAATCGCTTTCAGGAAGGATGCCCATTCAGTCCGTATAATGATTTATCACATTTGTATGCATACATCAGCTGCAACTCTGCAGATGATGATCTATGGGACTTAGTCATGTTTGAAGACTAATGACTAACTTAACTTTAAAAGCCTATCAAACAGCCTAATCTATGAGCTTTAGAACAAACTCTAAAATAAGAAAGTGGAAAAGGACTCTTCAACTACTTGTCTTTGAATAATGCATATAATGCTACTGAATACAGTTGTCAGACCTTCGATAAAAAAATGCACTGGGACGATCCAGCAAAACAAGAGAAAAAAATCTCTAAGAGCTACATTATAAATCTGGTAAAATGCTACTGAATTAGATTTTATTGCCCCATTAATGAAGATATGGAGACAAAGTTCATGGGTGATGTAGAACTGATATAGTTTGAAAAAAGTGGGCAAAGTTTTGGGCAGCGAGGTTTATGTGACTGAAAGCTAATCCTTTATTTTTTTTTAAAAAACATCCATTGATGTAGTCAATATTATTTCTGCCTACAAGCTTTGTTTCTCATATCCTGAGATAACAGGTCTACAAGATCAGTAAGAGTAGAATAAACCAGACAGAATAGAACAGAATAGAATAGAGTATTTCATTTGTAGGGGACCTACAACAATCATCTAGTTCAACTGCCTGACCACTTCAGGGCTGACCAAAAGTTAAAATATGTTATTAAGGGGATTGTCCAAATGCCTCTTAAACACCTGACAGGCTCATGGCATCGACCACCTCTCTAGGAAGCCTGTCTCAGTATTTGACCACCCTCCTGGTAAAGAGCTGCTTCCTAATGCCCAGTCTGCATCTCCCCTGGCACAGCTTTAAACCATTCCCATGTGTCCTGTCACTGGATTCCTGGGAGAAGAGGTCAGTACGTCCCTCTCCACCTCCCCTCCTCTGGAAGCTGTAGAGAGCAATGAGGTTTCCCCTCAGCCTCCTTTTCTCCAAGCTAGACAAACCCAAAGTCCTTAGCCACCCCTCACAGGACATTCCTTCCAACACTTCCACCAGCTTTGGTGCCCTGCTCTGGATGCATTCAGGTACCTTACTGTTACTCTATTTGAATCCACCACCAAAATAAGGGTCTCGCGTGTTGGTTCTGACAAGTTGTTGAAGTTGTTCATGATGCTGCTGCTCATTCTGCATGTTTACTGAGATTGTACTTGTGCCTTCCCTTACTTGCGGCAATCAGATTGCGAGACAGCATTTGCTTGAGCCCAAGGCCCTTGTCAGTCAGCGTTCTACTCAGAGCCTCCCCTCTCAGCTTTTCTCAGTGTTATATTACCTGTATTTCTCTGGCTACATCTGCACTCCCTTGCTGCTATTAGTGATCATTTTGGTCTGCCTGTCTCACACACATGGAGGTGACAGACAGCTGCAGTCAAACTCGTCTTGTAGACTTGGAATTTTATTTTTATATCAAATCCACGGGGAAGCTATTGGACTACATCCATTGCCTGGGTTTGCAGACAGCCTATTTTGTGGACAGTTGCTTTCCATTGTTTCACCTGCCAGTAACAAAAAAGATATTTTGAAGTCCCTAGAAGAAAGTTGGCTATTGTGCCCAAATCTGAACATGGTGTTACAGATGATTCAACCCCTACCACAATGAAATCACTACTTGTATAATGTTCAATCATACATATTTTAGTTCTCCTTCATAGCTATCTGAAGCGACTATCATTAGTCTTACTTTACAAAGGGAAAAACTCATGTATAGAGAAGCACCTTGCTCAAAATCACGCAGCCCCTACTGGCAAAGCAGAGGATGGATTCAGTTCTCCTGGGAAACCACTCACTCCTTGCTCCGCAAAGTCACACTACTGATTTTATTTATATACAACAACTGCAGTATTTTCAAAGTAAAAATGAGTTTTTCTTTTGAGGTGCCTCCATAAGAGTACATTCTGATATGTATTTTTGAAAATTCTCTAATGCAACCATAAAGTAATTTGCAAATAGGAACCTGGATCTGCGAAAGTTCAACAAAGTAACAGATACGTAAGAAATTCCTGATTAAATCAACAACAGAGGAATAGAAGAAGAATCTGTCATTCAGAAACAGATGTTCTATTACTCTCCTGAATTCTATATGTTTCCAAGAAACTCACTAGCAACACAGGTGCATGTCTATGAGCACATATGGATGTACATTGCTCATGTATATAGGCATCCACTTAAAAAATCTGAATTCAACTTTACGGTCTTCCTTCAAGACAGCTGTATGCTATGTCACCGTGACTTCAGCAATGGTCTGAATCAAATCTCAACCAAAATAACAATTGCTGGATCCAAAATAGGTGAACTAACATTTTATAAAGTGGTTTTACAGACATTATACCACATGTCTACAAAGTGAGTGTTTACCTCTGACAGCGTAGCCGTCTTTTACTGATGCTGGAAATGGTGGTAGGTTATCTTTTGCATATACATCTTGAGCAAGGACTCGGCCCATTCCGTCTAGAAAAGAGAAAAGAGAAAAGACCATGCTCCATGTCATTACAGCTAGCGAAAGGGAAAAAAACAGTGAACAGCAGTGTGCTCTGATGGATGAAATGTATGTGTACGTGACATGAATAGATCTCTCAGGTTTTTGATTTCTGCCTCTAGATAAATGAAAAAAGACTGGAGTCTGAAAGTACTGATGGAAGATTTGGTCAGCAAGTCTGTGTTCCTGGTTAGGGTGAAATTGTTGATGGTAGATCTGAATGCCAAGTGTCCAATCCCATACAGGATCAGACAGAAAAAACCAAGTATTTGTTTCTTCAGGACAAGTTTTTCTCCTGAAATCTCTTAAAAATATATACATTCCTGTATTTCAATTAAAAAAAAAAAAAAAGGTTTTATTTTTAAAAAACTTTTAAAATAACATTTCAAAAGTTATTCCTGTGTGCAAAAGGTGAGAGTTGACGAATTGAGCCCAGAGGACTCAACATAAACAGTAATGATGGACAAGTTTCCATAAATTGACAAAGAAGTTTTGAAATAGATTCATTTTGCCTAATTGCTGAGAGCATTTCTGCTTAATGGAGGGTGAGTGCACATAAGTGTCAGGATTATTTATGTAAATGTACGGTCTTATAGTTCTAAATATTTTAATAGCTGTTTCAAACATACCCTTTCCCTTCACTTAGCAGCTGTGACTGATGAGTTGTAATTTGGCTCTGCCTTCCTGTAGAGACTGATATGAATTACTTCACCCTCAGTCAAGTGTGCACTACTTGTTTGCTTTTATGGTGCCAGCAAGAGGGTTTTTTAATATGATGTGGAACAGCGTGGAAAATACGTCTCTTACCCCTTCATAGAGTGGGAGAATGAGAAAGAAGATTTATTACATGTGTGATTAGATGGACTGGGAAGGAGCACGTGGGTCAGAACTACTGAGATTGGCTCGGTTCCAGTATGTCTAAGTAGAAGAAGGGAAGCTCATCTCAAATGGAGGCCACCGCTCGTAGGAGTGCGTTGTGGCACAGGAAGGCAACATCCAGCTGAAGGTATGAAGGAATGAGAGGATGCATAAATACTTCTGCCAGGAGAATTCGCATGGATATGTACTTTATAGATTATGATCTTTCAGAGATGCCAAAGAAGAGAGACATACATAAAGTGTGTTTCTTGTTTTACAGACAGGGCAATCGATGTGGTTCTGGATTTGTTGGGAAGGCAGAAGACCTAACATTGCACACTAAATGGATAGGTTTTGTTAAAAAGTGCATCTGCTTGATTTGAAAATATTCAGCTGCAGTGAAGTGGTATTATAATGGAGATTATATTTTACTTATTAACACAAAGTGATTTAGTCAGTAATTAATTATAATTATAATAACTATAACATCATTGTGCTCACATGCATATGTATCAACTTTCAGCCCGAGGTGAATATTTATGTTGCATTTCTGAAATAGGTATTGCCATGAAAATGCTGATAAAACCTGTTAAAGCAGCTAGAAAACCACCTTTGTGATGGCTATTAATAACGCCTGTGCATCATTGCGTATCACCGTCTGTCATACACAATACAGAAATTATTAGAAAGCTCACAAAAACTTGTACACTTGCACTGAAAAAAAGAACGCAGACGCAGACATGTAAATTATAGCATAGAAAAGGCAGCCACCAAAGGCCTAGTAAAAACACCCTCTGTTCACAGGCACACAAAATCTCATACAAAAGTGATGCTTCTAATTTTAGCAGGCATGTTGTGTCTTCATTTTACTTCTTGTCTGCATGCAAAATCACACCAATTAGAGCAAAGTTGAACAGCATGTTCCTGGCATTCTGCCATGCAATATTTGAAGGGAATAAATGGCCAGCCAGTAGCGGGAATGAATTTCATTATGGGGAGAAAAATGTAAGAATTATTTGCTGAAGCCTTAGGCATTGAAAATGAAGCAAATCAGCAACTAAAAGACAATGTGAAGTACCTCTGTACTCTCCTTTATTTGAGCAATTACTTTAGAAATACACTGTTTGACCTTATTTTGATTAATTGTAATTCAAAAAAGATGTTCTGAAATATTTTAATGTCATCAAACTGCCCCTTGTGATGCCCATAGCTTTCCGAGTCTAGCACAAAACGGAGAATTACATTAAACTCACTTTTCAAATTTGGGTATTTTCTAAAGCTTAGCTGGTGAAACTGGTACAGTTCTGTGAAGAATTTTGATTTCTCAGGATATCAGTACTGCGATAAAGCAGTGAGACAGGTATCATACTAGAGCTGATGCATTTGCTCCCTTTTTTTATATATTGCCCTGGTAGCACTGCCAGTATGATACGGAAAGGCAATACTACCAAATTAATCAGCTAGTTCAAAACAAATAAGCAGTGGAAAAAAATGTCCAAGCTCTACAGAAGTTACAGGGCTCTTGGACTAGATCAGAAAAACTGTCCCGTTCTGAGGCTTAAGACCATGAAGCATGGATTGCCTCAGCTTTGTACTTTTAGTATCAATTAAACTTCTGCCTCTTCTTAGTTTCAGAAGAATGATCATTATCAAGCTGTCTAAAAACATCACCTTATATACCCATGGAGCAATATTCAGGTAACTGCATTTAGCCAGAATAAAAGGCTAATTGGGGGCTTCATTGATGACGGAAGGTAGCAGATAGTCTTCAGGTGCCTTTGGTTTATGGCACTTCTGTAAAATGTTTTAGGACTGTCCATTTTTTTTTTTTTTAACATGGAAGAGGCTAAATGATCTATACAGGCATGGAGCAATACACTTACCAATGTGAAAGTCATGTTTCAAAAGATAACATGTTAGGAGAGAATAGATTTGAGACACTACAGCATGCCTTGACTTAATAGAGAATAAAGTCAGGCCTGTACTGGCTACTTGCACAGAGTAGCATTCAGCAGCTTTATTTATGAGGATGAAGGCTATGTAAATATGTTTAGTAATCTAAATAAATCAGGCTAAAATTAATTAGGTAATTTGTTAATGAAATAAATCCTAGAACTTTAAACATTTCACTTTCCTTACAGAGAAATTGTGCTCCTGAAAGATAATTTTCAGGAGCTCAGCAAGACACAAAATGACAAATAACACAAACACGGCACAATGGTGCTTTTCTGAATACAGTTAGTTAGGATTCAGACCTCCAGGACCTTTTTATTATCTCCTGAAATTACAAGTATATTAATTGAAAAATAAGTGAATATGTAACTAAATAAAAAACTGGTTCTTAATTCCTTGTATTCTTCAAAATCAACATTTTTTAGCAAACTAGCATATATATGTGTACATGCAGGCACATACACACATATACATATAACATCCCTATACAAAAAAATCCCATATATTTGTCTGTATAAGACTACAGTGATCGCTTAAGAACTTCTGAAAATGAGATTCCATCTTGGAATTTGTATCTGCAGATTAAGAGAATTGAATTTCCAGTATCACAGACACAGATGGGTACTTTAGGATGTCTCCTAAAGGCTCAACCCTGAAATTTCATACTATGCATTAGGAAATCTTGCAGTGCTAAAATAAGTGTATACTTGTTGAAAAAGAAATTGTGAGATGCAATTTTGCACTACAGTGCAAAAATATGAAGGAATATGTCTTTATTAATATTTTTATTGTTGGTACAATTATGTGGATATTAAATCAAGAATAGATCTCTACAGCTGATAATCTTACCGTGTATCTAACTCTTTTATTTTGGCTGGTAGGGAAGAGGGTCATAACTGAAGTGTCTCAACATACTCAGAACATTATTTTTAAAGGAATAACAGTGCCAGGAATAATCATCAATGTTCCAGGCTTAGAATCAGCCCGAATTTGATGTCAGTAATCAGGTAACATGAAGAGCAAAATGAAATATCAACTAAGATATTATAAAGTATACTAGAACACCTTCTCTTACCTTGGCAGCATATTCCCATGTCGTGGAATAAGAACAGAAACAATCAAATTGCCTCTTTGACAAATTAGAGTTTATAAAACACTATAGAGAACATAAGCAGCTAGCTAAGACCAATTACCTTCATTCTGTCTCTGTAAGGACATTTTGAAGAGCACGAAGTCCGAATCGCTCTGTTATTGGTATGGTAACATTATCAGTATTAACACAAAACTGTTACTTAGTCCATATTTTGGATGTTTTTTAATAGTAAAATAAATTACACAGCGAAAGCTTGTCCAAAGCATGTTGCAGCAGAAAATTATATATACTGTGATTTTGTCTGATTTCACCATAGTTCTAGTGAAGAAGTTTACAAATCAGGTATATGAAAAGGCTGCTTCTTACTGTTGATATAAGTATGTCTGCACAAAGACTGCCGTATACATATAACTAGATGGTGATGTTATTGTTATATGTATCAACATACATGTAGCATGTGAGGATTATGCCTAGAAGAATATTTTTAGCTACATTTTATTAACTTCTAGGGAAAATACAGCTCCTGTCCAGAAACACAATGGCAGCAACACAGAAGTGTTGTGAAACAGTATGCAAGTTTTCATCCAGAAATGTAAAAGACAGAAAGATGGAGAAAAATTAAAATAAAGATAAAAGGACAAGACAGTAGGACATATTTATAGAATCAAGGACAAAAAAAAGGAAATAACAGCTTATCAATACTTGTTTTTCCTTATAATCACTACAACCCAAATTCAAGAACTTATTTCTTCACTTAGTTTTGCACTATAGGTTTAAAAAATCAGAACTATTTTTATGCAAAAAAGAATAATAAAGCTACAGAGTACCTTAACGGTACTTTATTTAGCAAAATAAACATATGCTGTGCTTATTTTTCAGGGAGGCACAGGCCAGACTTTTATCCTTTATTTCAGGAGTTCATTGTCACATACATAGCATCTATTTGGACTAAATGTACCTAACACTGAGGCTCATCATATTGTCCACAAAGGGCTGTCTTAGCAGACATTTAACTGACACCTATCCAAAAAGATCTAATGCCTATGCTCAGGCATTCATGCCTTAATGCCTTCTTCTAAACTGCACACCATTATGAAAGTGCAGGGTGGAATAGGCATATTCCTTGTTGATCCAGTAATGGTGCTGTTCTAGATATGCAGCATCTTCTCAGAGATCTGCCTCCTGCTCCCAAGGCACAGGGGAGTGCTGATCTCCACTTGGAGTGACTAAACTCGCAGGTGTGATTCTACGTACAGTTTGCTAAATCCTGCTCAACAGGAAGACATCTCAAAGGTTTGTGGCCGCACAAAGATTTGGTGGAGAGCATGAAAACTTGGAACTTTCAAGCCATAAAACAGAATATCCCATTCAGAAACCATTTGTACCTCTATGATATCTGAAGTCCACTGAAGTCCTACATATTCTGCCTCTTGAGGTTTGTGGTTCTACTACTTCTTCGCTCACCACCTTACCTTTGGAAAATCTGGAGGAATCCCTGAAGGAGGTTTCCTCTTCCCTACCTACTTTAGGATTACTTGTCAGCGTGCTTCCTGCCATGGTTTTGTTCTGTGCCAAGAACACTCTCCCAAATAATGCCCAGGCTTGTGTAAGGGATAGCAGAAGCAAGGGAGACCCCTGATAAGCATTATGAACACCCTATTTTGGGAGGGAGGATAGTTTAGCTGAATAAACATGAGAGGTGCCCTGATAATTCCTTTTAAGGCCAGAAAATGCCTTTACCTTTCCTCATTTATTTACGAGTATAGACACGATCAAAATATCTGACATTTTGCTTGCAGTTTGTTACCTTTTAAGACAACCTCAAGGTATAAATCAGTAAAAGTTACCCTTGATTATAAAGGTTCAATAAATCAAACGTTAAATGCAAGTAAGTATCAGAAAAGGATCAAATGCAGTGGTAGAACAGAAAGGGAATTATTTTGCATTTATAAGAAGAGGCAAATTCTGTAATGACTAGTAGGCCGGTTAGGATCTGGAAAAACAGACTGAGATGAACTGTTAAAGATACAGGCATGGAAAAAAGTGACCTGGAATCAATCATCGCTTTGATTTGATCATTGACCTCAGATTGGAAATGGGGTTTAGTGAGAATCTCCCACAGTAAGAGAACAGAGTGAATGATCACAGTACAACTTGGAGCTACCTGGCATCTGCAAAAGTCCAGTGTTAAATCAACCATCTGAGGCAGATTGTGATTTCTATGTTTTAGCTTTGTGGTACATAACACGGACCAGAAGAGAATTCATTTATATATTTAATTAGAGTTCCATACCAGATTCCTTCAGGGAGCAGCACTGAGCTCAATCAACATTCTCCTGACTTTGAAAGGAGACTTCTGCTCCTATTACTGGCATTTCCTAAAGCAGTTTCTCCTGGTGAAGGTACTGTCTCAGACACCTCACAACATTAATGAAAAGAGCAAGTGCTTAAGAAGGTTGCAAAATAAGGAAATAACCACCCTAATCCTCACAAAGGATCCAACTTAAAATACCTCTGTAATTGATGATTTCTGTTCCAAGCACTGGGGTCATCTCCAGAACTGTGATGAAGGCCTTGTCCATAGATGTCAATGGGAATGGAGACATGCGGTGTCTTCTTGCTACCTTGGTAATGTCAACAGCACTGTGACCTGCAACAAGAGAGCACCAAGTTTATGTACGTTACAATGTGTAGATGTACACAGTGATGTTCATTGAAACCACTTTACTGAAATTAATCTGGCACTTTGGGGTAAATTAAATCAGTTAGTTATCACTATTGAGCATTTATATCAGACACTGGGAAGAAAAGAGAGATTTAAAACAAAAAGTGATTTACAGTTGAAAAGTGTATAACCATACCAGAAGTCTTGATGAGCATAAAAGGATCAGTTAATCAGGAACAGAAACCTGTCAAGATGATGCATTATTTTACATTGAGTATGATAATCTGAGGCTAACTCAGTTCTATGAACTATGAACTCAGGACAATTCATTCCTCATTCTGTTCTCCACAAACACATCTCAATATCCTATGTGCAGTGCACAGAGAAAACATAAAAATGGACACTGTCCTGGTGAATTGGCAATCCAAGAGGGAGATGGGAGTCAAAAGGTTTGAAAGGAGGACAGAGGGACGCACAAGGAAATCATTGGGCAGTCAGGACAGCTAGCGGGCATCCTACCCATTGTCAAGATTTTGTAGTTACCATAGCAAAGTGACGTTTAAATGTATAGTTTGAGTGAAGGTAGTAGGACAGATTAATGGAACCTGACTTTTCCTGAATATGAGGGACAGGTTGGGAGAAAATACGACAAAAGTTGTTTGAAAATGAAGCCAGCAGCACGTTTGATTTCTTGATACTTATTGAGAGAGTAAACAAGAGGACAACAAGCTCTGAGGGCTTTTGAAAGCGAAGATAAGCAACTGAAGAGAGGGAACTATTGCAGAAATACATAAACAAGAGTAACAGATACAAACCCAAAAGGTTAAGAAAACAACATTTGTAGAAATATCTTGAATGGATTGCCTAGAACAAGGAAGTATTTATGAGAGCCAAAGTGGATGATGTTCTATATGTAATATGTCATGATATTCCTAAAGCAACATAAATTATAATAAGATAGCATTAACAAATAATAGAAACTAATTTTTAATGACATGTTTTTGCTTTGCAGTAGCTACCTAAATATCCCATTTGCTGCTGCACATGACTTCAAATTCTGGAAAAAAACAGATTATTGCTTTAAGTGTCATCTTCTAATAAAAAATGACTACAAAAATAGTAAAACAATCATGCAGCCTAACTTTTTTCTTCAGTAAAGAAGGTCGCTTAATCAATCCGTATATGCAAAACTTCTTTCAGCACTGACATGCTAGTGTCTCTGTGTGGGAGATTGTTCATTAATTTATTTTTTGCTGTTAATGCAGTAACTATCTTTAAGAGGAAGAAGTAGAGACAAATAAAACTGCCCACATAATTCCAGTCCCAAGAAAGGTTCTGAAAGAAATTATTTGAACAATCTCTTTGTACGTATTTAGAAGATACCATGATGATAAAAGCAGGCACTGCAAATTTGTCAAGCACAATTCTGACGGACTTAATTCCTTTCTTTAACATAGCAACTGGCATACTGAGGAAGAGAGAAACAGCTGATGAGATGTATTTTAACTATATTAATGACATATATTCTAACTATATTAAGACACTTCACACTCTTAAACATGACTTTCCCATAAGCAAGCTAGACAGAAATGTTCCAAATTAAACTACTGTAGGATAAAAGTGTAACTAGTGGAAGAACTGCATTCCTGGATTTAACAACAGGGATGTCCCTAGCAAGCTTACATTTTCCATTATTATGCCTGTATTTTGTTTGCAACCTCATAAAAATAAGCTTTTTCCTAAAAGTTGGAGAAAATGAAGGAAGGTGCTAGGAAAAAAATTGTAACAGCGATGTAAGCTGGGGAAATTGTGTGGCAGCAAACAGCGTTTTTGTTACAGCCATTAGGTGCTTTAATGTTTATGTTTACTGCTACCTAAACCTCACTGTTAGCTACTTCAGAAACTAACATTTCACCTCTTTAACCCTAAAAACGTGAATGAATGCAGAGGCTTTGAATGCTCTGAATGGTTCCCAGAGTACTACCTTCAGATTCGGAACTCTGTGTGTAATGCACGCTATTTGCTTAAGTCAAAGGTTCTGTTAAAATCTGCTGAGAAATGCATTCTTCAACACATTTTTTTTTTAAAATAGATAAAACTCCCTAATCTCTGACAACTTTGTTCCAACACCGAAAGTAACGCCCATTATTTCTGCAAGCAAAGCCAAGAAAATAATACATACGAAAAAATAGAGCCCCTTCAGGTTTAACAGTAGCAGGAATAACCTTAATGAAGAAAGGAAGAAAGATGCAGGTATAACTCCTAACCCTCTCCCTATTTCTTCCTACAAACAAATGCTAACTCTTCTTTAGAGGTATCATACATTTAAACAGACTTGGAGACAAAAAAAAAAATCATTTTTTAAATTAAAAAATTACTAAGTGGTACTTTGCAATTACAAGTAAATGACAATAAAGAACTCCTCAGACCTTCCCAGGTTCTTTCACTAATGTCAAATGTTAGATGGTTCTAAAAATAACTACTTACATTAAGCAGTGTTTTGTCTGACAAAATAATCCTTTAGCTTTGAAGCAGCTAAGTCAATTGGTTGCATAAGGTAGAAAATTCCTGACAGCCTTCTCTCTTATCACCAAAATAACTTCCTATTCCTGTTGTTACATATATATATACACACATGGTGGATGAAATTTTAGACTAGGGAAGATTCCCATAAAACAAAGGAGAGGAACCATGCAAATTCAAGAACAGGTCATTTGGGTCATATCTGAATTCTTAACCTTTGTATTTTTTGGTTTGGTTTTATGTAACCCAACATTCAATTTCATGTTCAGGTATGAAAATAAAAATCATATATATTCAACTTGAGCATTTCCATTGTAATTGTCTCTGAGTGTTGATTCTTTTTGCCCATAAAACTTGCACGCACATGATCATTTACAACAATGCATCTCCACAAACACCACAGACCTCCATGTCATTAGAAGAACAACTTGGAAGAAAAAATTAAAACGCAACTATCCATTAATACATGAACACTATGAGCTATTAACACTTTTCTCTTTGGACTGAATTGCGTTGTCTGAAGTTGTTACATTTCTTCTGCAGACCCACTTATGTCCCAGCCATATACTTCTCCTCTGACTATCATTTGCTGTCTTCTGAGAAGTCTCAGTTTCTCATTAGAGCTATGAAGTTTCAGTACTTACTTGCTCTGAGGATGTTCTCCTTGCTGCTGCACCTAGACTGGACCTGCAGAGAGAGCACAGAGTCTATGAGCTACAGAAGTTAACAAGAATGCAAAATACAGAGATATAATGGGCAAGCTCCTGGGATCTAAGACAGAGGCTGTACATATTTTCAGCAACATTCTTACATACTCTACATGAGATAAGTATATTTCAGCAGAAGGGTAGTAGCTGATGGTCAGAATCTGATACAAACAATTTGATTCCACCCCCCCTGCATAAAAAACAAGATGGCCTAAGGACAGTTACAGAGTAAAATCAAAGAACAGAATGGTTAAAATTATGTGTTAAGCTCCAGTTTTAAACAGAAAACCCACATTTTCTCATACAATTGTAATTATGGTAACTCTGAATCTAGCTCCTGTTTTGTGATTAGACAAAATACTAACATAACTGTATTATCATGACCTGCTTTAACATTCTATTATTGATATTTTCAGGTATTACAGAAAGAGTTTAAAATATTCAATTTAGATTGTGTTGATTCTGAAGATATTTAATAAGACTTCTTCACAACTGTATGAGCAACGATTATATAAACAGCTCCTGGCTGGAGCCACATAAATTTACTCAGTTGTTTCTGTTTGGTTAAAAGGAACGCTATGTTCAGCATGAATTTTACAGTGCAATTCTACTTTAAAAAGTAACTGTGTGACAATGACAACTGGTTTCTCAACAAATCCTCTTCCTAGATGCTTAGCTGCCACTGTGCTATTCTGGATACATTAATCTGATTCCAGGGAAACTGGAGGATTCACACTGGTCTAATATTCTAGTAACACTCGATATTTAGAGTTCCATCTTGATATTTAGAGTACCATACAGATTTAAAAAAGAATTGTTTTTTGAACAGTATCAGTCCTGTAAACACAACACAGTTTAAACTTTATCTATACTGAAGCGTCAGCTCTTATTAATTCTTCTCAGGTTTGGAAAGAGTACGTTGTATAATAACACTGAAGTTGCAAGTTTTTAGATGAACTAATTTGAACAGCAGTCTGTCTTCTGGCAGGTCAACTGACTGAACTGGTAACACTTGAATAAAAAGCTTTTTGCGTGGACAAAACCCCAGCTAAAGTAAACTTAGCAGGCAGACAAACCTCTGAGGGAGTATGAATGGAATCCCTCCCCTTTTTTACTTTATTGACAAACATATTGCTAAATTTCAGCGAGAAGACTAATAACCTAAAACCATGTACATGTGGTGAACGAAGTGGAATAGCACAGGTGATGCTGAGGGTTTAATTTCCCTGCAGAACATTTGTGTCTGCTGAAAAAGCGCAGGAGCGAATCCAGATTATCTTTCAGACTACAGTTTCAATTTGCAGCTACAGAAAAATTGCTTAGAAAGTGAATATGTATGATCTAACACCCGATGAAGAATAGTACACGCTCAAGCCCCCAAAAGCTGCCTTCAGAAAGGCACAACCATTTAAGGCTGAAACCAACTGTGCCCCAGCTTCTAAACCTCTTTCTTCTGTTCCACAGCAGCTTGCCCCAAATGTATATTCACATAAAAAAACTGGATTCTACAGCGCAACACAGTCTACTTATTGTAATGGAATAACTTATGGAAAGTAATGTTGCAACTTAGAGTGGGTTATGGTGTCCTTCCCTGAAAAAAACTGTTGTTTAAAAAAAACAAACAGAAAAAACCCCAAACCCTCCCTCCTTCCCACCAAAAATACCGTACAAGAAAACTGCAGACAAAATACTAATGATGCCCAGATTTGGCCCAGAGTTGTTTTACCAGATTTCAATGGCATACATGAACTCTCTTTGCAAGAAGTAAATATTTACTTATAATTTACCAAAGGACAATTCTGGACCAAAAAGATGGTATAATGGTAGGAAAGAAAGCACAAGAGAGAGAGAGAGGCACAGACTGAGAGAGAGAGAGAAGCAGAATGGACGTGGCAAGGCAGAAGATGGCGTGTGCAAAAGGAGACATGGGCCTATGTGTGTAAGACTACTGTTTATAATGGAAGAGGCTCTCTTATTTCTCACTGAAAACCATATGAAAAGAGAAAACGAGGAATGGGCCTGCTGCAAAATAACCAAGCAATTCAGCAAACTGTGGAATGAAACTCAGTGAGATAACACAGTCCTAAAGAAAAAGGCAAAAAACCAAAAAATACAAAACACAAATATTTGAAACAATCTACTAAAACAAACTAAGTAAAATATGTGATCCAAAGGACACAGATAAAAGCTACTAGAGAAGGAGGAAAAATGTTAGCAGACAAAGACAGTGCTAAAGAAGTAAAATGGAAGTCAAGAGAGTCTTCAACAAAGTGGAGGAACAGAAGGAGCCCAAACCCATAGCGCAAAGCAATGTTTGCGAATGGAAAACAGCTCCTTTGAGCAGTAATAGTTACTCTCGAGTTGTAGCCTCTATTCCTCCTCAGTTCATCTTTAAGCCCTTCCAACCTATAGTGGAGCTAGTGTATGGACAAAAACAAGAGATTTATAATGAACAGAGCAGCTGAGATTTGCAGATCAAATCTTCTAATATAAAAAACGTGCCGACAAAGTTTTGCTCTTACAGTGTCCAAATGACAATGGTAACAAAAGACAGCTGGCTTCACACACAGCCTCTTACAGGTCATTTTTTTAATTCTGTGCACACAGAGGACTTGAAATTTACTTTTTGATTTCTTACGCCCAGCCTACAGTTTCCATGTTATCACTCACCTGATGGGCAACATATGCAGTATGAGAAATTATTTGCTTCCCACAAATTTTAAAAGCAGCTGTGGAAGAGGAATCCATGGTAATAAAATAAAAGGCTTGATCAGCTAGACTCGGTTGTTTCCCAACCTATGCTCACAGCTGCAGAATACAAACCATGTTTTAACATAGCTGACATCAAAATTAGTTATTACATAACACTTCTGTTTGTTTAATATGAATTGCGCATTGATATCCTAAATGTTATTTTTAAACAAAACTGCAGTAAAATATGATTTTGAATAGAACCCACCAGTTTTCTAACACATACAATTTTAGCAGCAATGGAACTTTGTATAAATGGGATCATGTGCTTTAAGTGCCTTTTATCATATTCATTATTTGTATGTTTTACTACTTTATTACTTGTGACATTTACAAAAAAATCTGTATTCTTTTCACGGCTACTGCTAAGTAAAGAATCCATATTACATTGCATATAGTACCACGACTGACTGGGGCGAGTGATTAGTAGTATTATTTACTATAATTCTTCTCATTCACAGGTAGTTACAGAAATAAGAACCTATGGCTGGCTCTCCTTTCATGGGGAAAGTAGAGATTTGTTCTCTGTACATTCTACAGCCTCGTGGCTCACAATGTACCTTGGCAGAAGATACAGTGGGCTACCAGCCAGTACCATTCCCCTGTGTAGTACAGGCAGAATGTAACCAAACCCAAAGCATTCAATTCACATTACTCTGGTTTTAAAGCAAACTGGGTTTTATGTTCTTTAAGATATACTTTCATCATACTGGAATGCAGAGTAAGCTTTCTCCCATAGGCTGTAGTAGTAAATAGAATGTGAAATAAAGTAGTCAAAAACAAATTAAGGGAATGGTAAAATAAAGAGTCCTGCTGACAATTTCTATCTATCAATCATGATTGGTCGGAAAAATGAAATCAATGACTATACTAAATTGGATTTATTTAAATCTACATGATATGTTTTGCTGCAAATAAAAATCAGTTCACAAAAAAATTTTTTACACGAAAAATAGAAAAAGACACAAAGAAAAGTTCATGCTACAAGTGAAAAATTCACATGAAAAATAAAGAAAAAAAGAAAATTGAAAAACCCTTTTACACTTTACCATGACTGTTAGGAATGGTTAGAGAAATTACTTACCTTTTTAAAGTCATAACAAGATTAGCACAGAGTATTAAGTCAGCTCTTCATTATGGGAGGTACAATTAAAAGCCATTGGTTATAATAAAACAAATTGCTACACAAAGATGAAGAGTTTCCAGCCCAATATGAAAAGCTAACTCTTATGGGAGTACATTTCAACTCAATTTTACAACATGAAGAACAATTCAGAACAATGACATCAAAACATGAGTTATCACCAACAGAAAGAGCCCATTTCTCGGGAACACGGAGCCTGTTGGAGGCTAACCCATAATCTTTATCATTTACGGGAAAGCACATTGCTCTGCTTTTAGGAAAGCATGCAGAATGTGGAACCACCAGCAGAAACCCAAACATACATACAGACGTGGAGGACTAAGGTACAGCGAAGGGAATGGGTTCGCCAAGCTGTAATGAAGGAAGCAGGGTACGCAAAGCACAGCAGCCATTAACAATTTCAGAACTCTCTAACTTTTTCAGACTCTACCCATCTCATAAACGCTGGGTAGGCCCGTTTATGAGGTATTGCACCTGCTACAGCTCCTTTTTGGTGAGACAGTGCATAACTCAGATAACCTCTCCTTGAAACTTCAGCAGCTTTATGAAGACAATTTATTCTGTGTGATGTGGGAAAGCATGCTGCTGCTGCTTTTTCCTACATGTGATTTATTAGTGATTACATGATCTGAGTTCTGTACAATATACTCTGCGCACATGCCATTTGAAGGGTCTCTCAAATACCTGCCTGCTTTAAGCAGATTTCAAATCACACATGATCTGATTTATAACTGCAGGGGTTTGCACAATGTCTCTCGCCTAATATACCTCTTCCCCCCTAAGAATGCGACATACATTAATAAGTATCTGTAAATAAATACATAAAACAAAACCAAGCCATGAATAACAATGTCTCAAACTGGTGTAGTAATACTGTAAAAATTGATTTTGGCCTGTTATTCTAAGCAATATACATAAGGTTAAACTGGGGGCAAACTGGAAAATGTAATGAAATACATTGGTTCGTTTTATTTAAAAAAAAAATTTTAAATCTAATCTGAAGAAGAGAGACAATTTCTTTGATTGAATTAATATAGAATATAAAAATGAGGTTGTTAAAAAATTTCACAGGAAAAGTATATTTG